GAAAATCGAGTTTGTATATTATTATGTAGAAAATATAAATTTTTCACCAAATACATTTAACCGAGATTTCATATATTATTATAGGCAGGGAAAAAAGTATTAATTACAAAAAACTTAATCTTCATGAGCGGCTAAAATGTTCTACATAAAGAAATGATTTTTGAATTTGAATTTAAATATATATAATGCAAACATATAGTACTCGTAGAGCTCATTGTAGCCTGGGAAATAAATATACCTAAAGACCATGCAAATAATGTTACGAACTAACAAAATATATTACCACTTCAGGTGTTATTAACTTCCGTTCAGCCGTTAAGTCGTGCAAAAGTAAAAAATTAGACATTTATTAAACAGTAGACAGTAACAAAATATACGGTAAGGTTGACATTATTTTTCTGTCTTTATCCACAATCATTTGGAGTCGGCAAAATCGTTTTTATATATAATATACTAAGAGTATCAATTATAATTTTATATCTTACCAGGATACTATCAACGTTTTTTAAATGTTTTCTTGAATGTTAGGAAAACGTAGGGACAAAAGTATGAGTTATAAAGGAATTTCGATTTATTTTAAGACATTGAAATTATACATGCTTACGGTTAACTCATTAATAAGCACTAATCGCTGCTTTTATATATTAACAATACTGGAAATAATATATTATTATTATTTCACTACTTAATCGCACACTATGACTACAATAAAGTTTGCAACGCAAGCTGCTTGGCGCCTAAAATAAGTGAGACTATGGTGACAAATCTCTTGGATATTCAAATTGAAAGTCGGTATGAGGGAACCCTGCATTTGTAGAAATAATGATGGATATTACTCTCAGATTCTTGGAATGTTTGTGTTACGTGCCCAAAAGTTGTTATTCTAAAACTGGACAGGTCAATAGAATATTACTGCCCTAACTGAAACTATAAACTTACGGTAAGATAAAATTAAATAAGTGCCGATATCAATTTAGGCGTATTTGGCAATATCAGGCAAAGGTAAAGAAATCAATTATATGTATGTTTTTTTTTTCACAGACTTATAGTTTGGATGATTTCGAAGACACGATGGAGACCCTGAAGAAGGTTTTTCGATTATTAGGACTGCGCCTAACAAAGAAGGACTCTCCTAAAGCCAGGTTTCTTTGTTTAATTATTAGGTTTAAATATTCTCACATTGATTTATTTATATAGGTAATTGGAATGGCGAAACTAGCTGACGGTTCACCTGATGGTAAGTGGTCATCGATTATATACATTAACACCATCATGGACAGAGCATCATCATGCGATGTCTATGTGCCATGCCTCTGTACCCTATAATTTTACTGTCATATTCATTATTAAAACCAAAATAGCACAACATCTTACAATATAGATATTGATGGTATAAAGTCTGGGGGAACTAATATCAAAATGGGCGTTCCTCAAGGTTCAATCTTAGGCCCATTTCTCTTTTTAATTTATATAAATGAGCTTCCCTACATGGTAGAGAAAATTGCAGAGATAACCATATTTGCGAATGATACTTCATTAGTGGTCGCCAAAGTAATCAATTAGACAATGTAAATCATGCTTACTCTGCTATATTAAATTGGTTCACATGTAATAACCTATTATTAAACCTCAACAAAACTAATTTTATTAAATTTACGCTTCCTAATATGAGGCAAATACAATTACAATGGGATCCCCATATTTCAAAATTAGCCAGTAGACTCAGTTGTGCCGCTTATGCAATTAGAAGAATAAGACAATTAACATATGTGGCAACGACTGAACTTGTATATTTTAGTTATTACCTCAGCCTTATATCATATGACATACGCGCGTAGTACACCCCGTCGGGCTATTTGCCAATAGGAATTAAATTGCTTTATTCATCAATTATTACCACGTAGATGAACGAACCGGCAATGACCATAGTCATTATCAAGATTGCCCGATTCCTACTCCTAGATAGACCTACTAATTCAAGCGATATTGTATAAAGTCTACGTTTACAGATTTTGGTATAACGTATTTTTCTGGTTTGAATGTCTAAATCTTACTATTGCCGTCACGCTGGAAGTCGCAGAAATGATTCGACTATGTAATGAAGGTACATTTGACGAAAAAATTGCAAGCCTCGGAATGATACCATGTGCGGGATGTTCAACGTTGGGTATGTTAATATCTATACGTACTTAATTTCTATCCATAATATATATTATCGCACCAAGCTCAGTAATTGTACTGCTTGGCGGCAGATATAGATGAGACTGTGGTACCCAGACTGTCTCGCTCAGTTTTTTTATGTAAATTAAAGAACATAAAAACCGATGGTCCTCCTGCTACTAACTCGTAAAGATCCATTGCCAAAGGTCTGTTGCCTGTATACATGAACAGCACGTTATGACGTGACGCTATAAGACGGCGTGATGTTATTCATACATAGCCATTACTGAGGACTAAGTTATGTTACCTCCATATCATATAATTACAATACCATATCTCTCACTTTAACTGAAACACATTTTACAAAACAAGCTGCTTGGCGATTCAATTAGTTGATAAAAAGGTACCCAAATACAGAAAATTTTTCACAAAGTCTACCTCAGAGTTGTTCTTTTCTTTCTTGTATGTCACTATATGAGAATTTGATTGATGAATTACGGAACATGTGGCCACAGGGTACAGTCAATGAAGAAGAACACTACATTATTAGCACAGCCCTTAAACAATTGAAATTTGTTCGAAAGGTATTTGTTTATGTTCTTTTCTTTTTAATACAACAAAATAAAATAAACATACGTACACTTTGGATATTTATTAAAACTCATTTCATGTGTATTTTATTATATTATTACTTCAATTACATTAATTAGATACGTGAACTCAACGTGTACTCGTGTATTTTTAAGTAACTGAGATAGTAGAATAGTCAGAGCTTAATCAGAGATCTTCCTTCTAAGACTCTTCATTCGATAAATCAAATAAAAAGTACGTTATTCTAGTAACAACAGCATTTAAAGATTATTGATTACTTTTTATATCACTGCATACTCATTCAAAATGAATAAAAAAATATTTTTTATTTTATTCCATACGATTTACAAACCAGAATGTTAGACGGGTACGAAGTTTCATCACTTATCTATTTTCTATTTTCTTTTTCATTTTTTTCCGACATTTATGGCTTTACCGAACTTTTGGGGCGAGTGCAGAAATGGAAGGCTTTCTACGAAGACTAACTCATGCCTGACGAATACGTCTTTAGTCTGATGGCACTAGGGGTTCGAATCTCGGCTCAGCTCGTCATAATTCGATCCCAATTTTAATTGAACGGTAGACCAGTCGGTGAGAAAAGGGTTCTTACAAAATAAATATTAATTTCAGGATATTATTATTCGAACTGGGTTTTGATCATTAGCTGCTTTGTACCATGTTATATCACAATAATACGAAATATTCTTGGACATAATTTGCCAAAGAGACTAGCGTTCTTTTACTGGTTCCCAATAGATCCCTTACAACCTGTTGTATTTGAATTGTTGCTATTAATTCAAAGTTGGCATAGTAAGTATTATAAGAACTATTATTATTACATATATGTAGTTCAATAATAGAGTTACAGTTATAAAAAATTATTATTATTAGTAATTTAAGAATAATATAGCATGTTCATTTTTAGCTTGTCATAGAGTAACTATACCTATACTCTGTAATATAATGGATCATAATAAACGTTACAATATTAATATTATTGCATACTATTATCCGTGATTCCGTTTATTTTTGAGTTAAAAGACAGCCTACATTAAAAAACATTGGTATTTGAAGGTTGATGGTTATAGATAAACAAAAATTATAATTTGTTTAGAACACGGTCTAAGTGCTTATTAAGTTTATTACATTTGCACCGTGAACAATTATTTTCTGCACCACCCGTAGTTGACTGGCAGAAAATTGCTTATGATATTAAGCCTCCAATGTGCTATTGACGGCCTCGGTGGTCCAGTGGTTTAGCACAAAGCTTTACTTCAAATGGTAGCAGGTTCGATTCCTCGCACGGTACATACATACATTTGTATTCATAAGTGTAATTATTTGTATCGGTCTGGGTGTTTATCTTATATAGGTATTTACAAAAAAATGTATATTTAAGTATTTATATCAGCGGTCCTAGCACTAGGTACCTACACCGACAAGTTTTACGTAGTCTACCTCGGTCATAACCTTATTTTGTAATTAGTTGTAAGTAAATATAATATAAATTATATATTTATATTATAGTATAGAAATTTATTTATTTATTTCTAGCTTATCTGACAATCTTGTTTATTGTTACTGGAGATTTACTATTCTTCTTTTATGTAAGCCATACCACTACACAGTTGGACTTGCTGTCGCTTAAAATTCAAACACTTTTTACGATCAGTACGGATAATCAGCTGATTAGCTCTTATGGTATGTACCTACTTTTTTGTATTGATGATGGTGGAATGAGGCACACACGGGTACTAACGTTATATGCTAACTAGGCACCAATGAAGGATGAGCATGAAGTCAGATCAGTCAGCCTATCATGAAGAATTCATCAATAATTAATTGCAATTTTTTCCAGAGAAGACCGCGTGGAGATCAACCTGACATGATACATTTCTAGGAATGTAGCCACTAATGCCCATTACTAACTACTATAGTTGTTGTTGAATTTATGTTGTTGTTGTCTGTTGTCTCTATTGAATTCATGAAACTCTTTTATGTTTGTGTTATAAAAAAAAATTTTGGACAAAATAAAAAAAGAATAGTGTAAAAAGTTTAGTATGTAAACGAAAACGTTAAATATTAAGTATTCACAAAGTTTATTATTAATATTATTATTTACATTGGGATTATATTGTTTTGTATTTTTAGCTTCAATAGGTATAGGCTATAATTTAGTAGCACCTTGTATATATATATTATATATGTATATTTATTTTAATATATTAATTACAATATTAACTCTCATTTCAATAAGCAGCAATCAATAATGAACATATGATTGAACCGGTAAATGAAGTGCAACGAGAAAATGAGTACCAAATTGACCATGAAAAAGAATTATTGGACATAATCATGCAGCACCGTACTTTGCTTAGGTAAGCAAAGAAATTTACCGATCTCAAAAAATACTAAGTTTTTAGTTGTCTGTATGTTTTTTATTTCAAAATACAATCGGAATGAACTCTGATCATGACCAATTCGAATAGAAAGAATAGAATAGAAAATCATATATTTAAATAAACTTAAGTTAAGCACTTTTGAATAGTCAATGTGTTTTTAAATCTACCGCTTATTCGGATAGCTGTCTCATCACAAGAAGAATAAGAAAGAAACTTGTGTGTTGCTCATTTTAACAATTCTTGTAAGTTCACATTTTACAAGTCGAAACGTGTGAATACAAACTACCAACCAGCACTAATTTATTTAGGCTCAAATATAAAAACACAATAAGATTAAATCAGTCGTAGTGATAAGAGCAGACCAGTCCCTACAAGCAGCACTCGTTCACGAGTATGACGGATGAGCCAGCCATCACTGCGCTCGACCATATTTTAGGGAGCCCAATGACCCGGCCCACCACGCCGCCACATCTGGACATTTTAGTGAGCAAGACTACTCATTCCACTCGACCACGTCACAGCTACAAAAATTACTATATGGTAGTTACAGTATTCGCACTTTACATGAGGATGCTTGCGGCAATCAATACAAAAGCCGCTACGCTATCATATATCAAGAAAGCAGTATGAAAAATAAATTATAACGTTGTCCGCAAATAAACTTATACTTGCTATATATTGCTATCATCTATAAATTCATCTATCCTATAATAGGCTTTTTTACATAACATTTGTTTAATATAAAGTTTGAATTGCCTCTCTGTTAGATTTAGCGTAGATTCTGGCAGTTTAAGAATCTTACGCAATTACCATAAAATGAATTACTAACTTTGTGTAGACGGCATTTAGGTAAAATTAACTTATTTTTATTGCGTAAGTTTCAACTTGTACAGTCTTTTAGTTTCTTGAAACTATCTAAGTTTTTCCTTGTATACATAATATTTTCATAAATGTACTGTGAGGCAACGGTGAGGATATTTGATTGTTTAAAGCATTGACGTAATGACTCTCTAGAACCCATACCATATATAGAACGTATAGCTCTCTTTTGTAAAATAAATATAGTATTTACATCGGCAGCTTTACCCCACTGCAGTATGCCATATGACATAATGCTATGGAAATAACAAAAATATACAAGTTTTGCCGTCGCCACGTCTGTTAATTACCTTCTCCTTCTAATTGCATAAGCAGCAGAACTAAGTCTACTGGCTTGAAATATGGGGCCCCCATTGTAACTTCGAGTCTACTGTTATTCCTAAAAAAACTGTATCATTAACAAAATTTACTATTTCATCATTAAGCAATAGTTGCGTATTTACTTGTCTTACATTAGGAAGCGTGAATTTAATACACTTAGTTTTGTTGGAATTTAATAATAGATTATTACATGTGAACCAATTTAATATAGCAGAGATAGCATTATTTACATCGTCTAAATGATTACATTGGCGACCAATTTTAAACACTAACGAAGTATCATCCGCAAATAACACTATATCTGCAACTTTCTCTACCATGTAGGGAAGGTCATTTATATAAAGTTATTTATATTAGGTCATTTATATTAGTTCCCTTAGACTTTACACCATCAATATCTACAGTTTGCACCCTATCCTCTAGATAAGTTTTCATTAGACTTAGGTCATTATCTCTAATACCATAATGTTCGAAATACAACGGTCATTATCTCTAATACAAAAGTGTTTCATGATCTACGCAATCAAACGCCTTCGATAAGTACCTATCGATTCAAATCCTGTTCAGGTTTTCAATCTTTTGAATTAAAGAATTATAATTATACGTTTGCGAAGAAAAAGATAAAGCCACTAAAGTAATTATAGGTGTGATAGAGTTATACGCATATTACTTATAAACATTTTAAATGTTTTTATTTACCAGTATTCGTAGATAAATTCTTATTTTTTTGACAGATTATCCATAAACATTGAGAATCTGTATGGTTTTCCGTTACTTTTCAATTTCATGAATAGCTCCGTCATCTTGTGCTTTTGTACTTTCTGCTGTGTGGTAAGTACCTAAAATTCTAAACATCTATTTACTAACAGTACCTTGTAGTGTACAACAGTGGCAATTAATCATATAAAGGCTGCACATATACATTTGGCTTGTCGTGAGGTCGTCAAATGATCTTTAACATATTTTTTTTTGCGTGTGCTTATAAATACTTTTTTTATATTGTTATATTTAAATACTTTTAGGTGATCGAGAAATGGTACGAATTCATGTACAAGTCGTGTGTGGTTACTACGCTATGTCAAACATGGTTTATTTGTTGGTATGGGCAAAAGTTGATTAATTCGGTAAGTTAATTATTCAAATTTTTACAATTTTTTTTTATTTGCTCTCCATGTTATAAACATTTGTATTTATAAGTGTGATTGTTTATATCGGTCTGGGTATTTTCTATGTATTTACGTATTTCAATCCGTTATTGGGTATCCATAACACAAGTTCAATATTGCTTGGATGACTAGATAACGCTGTGCGAATTGTTAAGATTATTATATTTCTTAGATCTCGATTATAAGTGAGTATTAAAATATTCATTAATGAACAGGGTGAAAAGATATCACTGGCGCTGTACAACTGTGGTTGGTATTATGCTTCTCATAAAAATAAAAGGAATTTACAAATTATGATGCGAAGGTATGTATAACTGTAATTGTCGACATCTTTTTTTAACTGAAACGTCGGAAAATTGATTCTTTTCTTACCACACATATAGGTATACCTCATATTTTAGTGTCTTGAATCATATTAAAGTGATCCTCTTATTATATTATTTTATTTTAGATTTCAATTTCAATTTCTTAATGCACCGCCAACATGAAACTCTGTTTGCCCAATGGTTGACTGGGAGAAAATGCCTCAAGGTGTTAAGTCCGTCATGTGTACCTTTATTTATGTATTTGTGGATTAAAGTTTTAATAAATAAATAAAATAAATATTTCACTAGTATGATATGATAGGAGCCTCCCCGCGGCGCACCTGAACTAAACGAGACATGATAATGCAGTGTCTAGGCTGGCCTATCATTTCACCACAATAGTAACCCAAATCGCTAACACTACCGTGAATGTGATCTCAATTAATACTGAGACTGTATTCTCACAAAACAAATTCATTCTGATGGCAGATTTGTGCCTAAAGATACAATACGATATGTATAATTGTATACTAGGGATTTAAAGATAAAAATATATCTCTCTTATCGTGCTCTTTGTGTCTAGCGTCTTATATGAAGGACGATCTGAACAAGACGGTCGATTGTCAAGTTCTGGTCTTAAGATTTTTAGCTTTTACTATTGATACGAAAGAAGAACTGTTTGTGTTAATAAATTACAAACAGTTGAATAAATTCTCCAATAGCTTTTTTTTTTACTTTTTTAGTAAGTCAGAATCACCACTCCCAATCTGTCTCTCACGTGTAATACAAAATCGTATGGATTTTTTATACCACCTAAAATAGGTATAGCTACGTATTTATCAAAGGATGCAATTATTATATGTACGTTTTTTTTATTCAATAAATATATTACTAACTTACAGCTAATATTTTGACACGTTAATATATTAAAAATAAAATATATAATCATAATCAAAATTAATATAATTATAATAAATACAGGGCTCAGCGAAAGTTATGTGTGACCACCTACGGCTTCGCAGTAATCTGCTTGGAGAGTTATACAACGGTAATAGTGTTCTATTCTCATATGTATAACAAACAATGTTACAGCATTTTTTCGAACTATACTAATGTTCTTTGCCTTCACAGGAGAGTCAGTGTAGTATTAGTATGTAATATTATGTTATCTGTGGTAGTAGTAAACCACGTCACGTGGTCACGATTCTGTCACACTAATTATTATTATTTTAAATATAGACCTTTGTTATTATGTGTGTATTAAATATCAGAATGGCTTTTGATTATTGAGATTCTTACAAGAGAGCAGTTTGCAATAAACTAGGCAAAACTAGTCAGGTATATAGACAAGATTCATAAATATAAAATGCACGAAATAATATAAAATATTATCTTTAATAACATATAACACTTCTTTCCAGATCATCAAAACATCCTGGTCCTACTTCACTTTAATATTTAACGCTTACAAAATTAATCAGAATAAAGATAAGTAATAATTATCAACATAGTTATATCACAATTTATATTATAAATAACCATAATATTGATGTTAATTAGATTATTTTGCTTTTAAGTACACTAATTATGTAATAATTCACGAGAATGCAATTACCGATCCTCAATAAATGCTAATGCTAAATAGAGGTGAATATAATAAATATTAAAAGAAAATAATGAAATATTTTTTTATTTAAAGATTTTCTTTAATTTAGTATTACTGATACCTAACTGACCAAAATTTTTGACAGCGTTGTTTGTTTCTTAAAATTATAAATTGTAAATTCATACGTTTCAATATGCTTTCTCCTTTGGTCATGTAACTTGTGTTGTAGTAGGACGTAGTATGTATGTATATATATAAGTAAAGATATATAATTAAATTACATTTTTAGAATAACTGAAAAACAGTGATATTCCTCTGATGTATCATACAAAATTACATAGTCCATAGTAAGTATATATTTAGTGTTGGCAATACATTTGAGAAAAATATAATAAATATTTTTCTTTTTTTACTATAAATATCCCTATCAGCACAAAAATAAGAACAGATTTTTTTTAAGTTTTTTGTAATTTCTTTTCACCCATACAACTTGTTATCAACACGATAATGGGTTTACCATTATAAAAAATCCGTGTAAGAAAAAAGAGTTCTGTGAATACTTTTTTTTAGTACTATTTTTAATGACTTAAAGTAGTGATTAAAATACAAATTTAGAATAAAAAATACATTTCTAATTAAACAATACTATTCACTCTCTCAAAAATCTTTTATTTATTTCTAAAAACAAGTTTAATCAGATGTCCAGATTTAGGTTTCGCCATAACGCTGAAGACTAACTTCAGATCTTTATAATCGGCTGTGACGTGAAATCTACGCAGAATGTGAACTAGACTCGTCTTTAGGTACAGCATAGCGTACAATTTTCCTGAAACATTATAATTTACAGTAATATATGTAAGTGGTAGATGATAAAGTTAACAAATTTTAGTAACTAGAGGTAGAGTTTATTCAAAGCCATCTACATGGGTGCTGCGGTAGGTATTTATATGGTCTGCATCATATATTAGACCCTCCAAGCAACTCGTTTTGTAAGTGATATTTCGGTTGAAAAGAAAATTAATTCACACATCGCTATCTAGTCCCAAACTGAGCAGAGATTGTGTTATAGGTATTGGACAACAATAAATACGTAAATACATATATATTATACATCGAAAACACCTAGACCGATACAAATAATCATACTTATGTATACAAATGTTTGTACCGAGCAAAGCATCAAACCCGCGACCATCGAGCAAGTCAACAAGCTTATTACATAAAAAAGTAGATACATGTATAGTTACAATGTATGATTGGAGCCAGAGTAGTGTAGAATAATTGAACGCAATAATAGTATTAACATATTCAAGTGCTATTTTTATAACAATAGCAAACTACCAAAACCTATGAACCGAACTTGATTAATTCCTTCTATGCTATAGAAAAAATATGAATATTCAATAAATTAAGGTATGTTACCAGGGCAGTTTCGCTTCCCAGGAGCAAAGCTGGCAAAAGCGGCTGGATGCTCAGTCAAGTCAGGGTTCAACCAACGCTCAGGTCGAAACTGTTCCGCGTTCACACCCCATAATTTGGTGTTTCTGTTTATCTCCCAAATATGGACCACAAAACGGCCGCCAGGTGGTATAGTTGTGTTTTCTGCAATAATTTGTCTATAAATAGTATAAAGTTAAATCGCGTTTTGTTCATATCTGTTTCTCCTCTTACTTCTTCTAAACCACGCAATGAATTTTGCTATTCCACTAGCTAGCGCCTCAAGAGGCTAGGAGCGATATTAACAAAAAAAACTTTCTATTTCAATTTATATCTATCACTGTGTCACGGTGAAGGAAATACCGACATCAAACCAAAAAATAGAAATCTTAGAAACGGAGATAGTTTCGATGGATCAAAATATTGTTATGTCAAGTGATGCATTAGTTACAACATCGACAGAAGACAATGACTTTAAATACCACTCCTGGAAAAATGTCGTAAGCGTATGTTTGTTAATATACGTATAGTTATACGATCTACGATTCGTTAATATATAGGTACACTAATTTTGCGAAATGAAGTAAGATGCTAGTGGCTAAATATGAGTCATTTAGCTATTGCAAAAATATTTTTAACTGCCGGATACTGACATACTATATATATAGTAGTAGTATATTATATAATAGTAGTATATTATATAGTTAATTATTCACTTACTTAATTGAACTTCATGATCAGTTTGTCTACCAATCACCGGAGCTATTGGAAACAGACGAATACTCTCCTTGATTACAGCTTCTAAATATGACAGCTGCGACAAATGATCCTTAGTCACGTTGTCACTATCTCCAACAACGTTTTTTATTCTATTAAAACATAACGTATTTAGATGCATTAGTAAATTTTGGTATTTTTATACAATGGGTAAACAAGCTGACGGCCGGATGGTAAATGTTAACCGTCCCTATATACACGAAGCGCACTATGGATCACTTTATCATGTGACACCCGCGGGCCTTCTCTGTCATTCCAGAGGACTAAACTATCATACACCTTATCCTATGCAGGGATGTTATGAATATGAAATATCGGATACAGATAGGTTTCGGATATAGGAATGATTATTATACCGGATATGGATATGAAATTATTTCGTATCGTCCGTTAGTTTCAGATAATTTCGGTTAGGGATATTATTTATATCGTGTTGTAGGTAGGTCAACATTAATTATTGTATTCCCTACCTACTTATTTAGAATAAAGCAGTTATCGTCGTAACATAATGTTTCATTGACACAACATGGTGACAGCGGTCTTATTATTTAGAAATTAAAGAGTTTTTGTCGATATAACTTTTGTTAACTTATACGAGTAACAATAATAAAATAGTGCCGTTATTAAATTAATAAAAATGGAACACGCAAGGCCACCTCCGGAGTTAAGTATGGACGGTAGCCCTGTCGGCCGGGCCGACGCATGGAAAAGGTGGAAAACCCAATTTCTATTATTTATTAAAGCTTCTGGAGTCCACAAAGAAGAAACTGGAGTACAAGCGAGTTTGTTGATAAATTTAATTGGAGCAGATGGATTTGATGTTTATCAGACTTTTGCATTTGAAAGTGATACACAACGTGATGACGTCAATATATTGATAAAAAAATTTGATGAACATTTCGGCGTGAAGACAAATGTCACATTAGCAAGATATAATTTTTTTACGCGTAATCAAAGTGAAGGTGAATCTATTATACAATATGTGACCGCATTGAAATTATTGAGTAAAAATTGCGAATTTCTGACATTGGAATCTGACCTTATTCGCGATCGTATTGTCTGTGGAATAACAAATATCGCAGTGAGGGACCGCTTGTTACGATCAGAAGATTTAACTTTAGAAAAAGCCATAAATATATGTCAAGCAGATGAAGTTGCTGACGGGAGACGACAACTAATCGAGTAGCAATCGTCAGGCCCGGGGCCTTCGTGAGCGCCGTAAGAGCGCGCGGTTCACGCGTAGTCATATAGCGTTACCAACCGCAGAGGGAATAGTCACAATATGCATACGGTGCCAATTGTCCAAGATGTGGGGCCAAAGATAAAACATGTCCTGCGTTGAATATTCAGTGTTACGTTTGTCATAATTATGGTCATTTTGTAATGTGTCTGTTAAAAAAATGTATGATATTGAAACATTAAAATCAACACAATGAGTCATTTTTTGTTTCTGTAATTTCGAATTCAACTAATTCCAAATGCTATCCATCAGGATTGGTACGAATACTTGAGATGTGATGGTGGGGTTGAAAAGTTTAAATTAGACACCGGTATATAATATATTTTAATGAAAGCATGATAAATAAAAAAGGAAATATATAGTCGTAATATAATTCCAATAAAAGGTATGTGTAATTTAAGTTTCTATTATAAAAACCAGTTATATTGTTTACCTTTTGCTATTTCTTATCTTAACTGTGAAAGTATTTTAGGACGTCAAACATGTACCGAATTAGAATAAGGCGTGTTCATGGTATAGACCACCTATAACGATATATTTCAGGGTTTGGCTCTCATATAGTTGTAAATCCGTCTGTGATGCCCGTAATTAGTGCAGATTCCATTAGGTATACGTGACAAATTAAAAAGTGAGTTAAATAAAATGATGGATATGGGTGTCATACGAAAGATCCCACCCCACTCCATGGGTTACGTTATAATGTCAAAAAAAAATGCTTTATGTCTAGACAGTCATTTTCAACTACCTACAACAACTTACGAATCCCAAATATTTTTCTGTCTAATTCGGTTTACTACTGGACTCTTCCAGTTTACCTTTGCACATTTAATACTCCGTTTGGAAGGTTCCAATTTTTAAGATTACCGTTTGGTTTAAATTGTGCCGCCGAAGTATTCCATGCAAAAATTAAACAGTTATTTGAGGATTTAGAAAAATAGATACCTTATTTGGAAAAGCTGAACATGACACACGCTTAAAAGCGCCGACAACTATTGAAAAATGTAAATTGTGTGTAGAACATATTTGGGTCATGTATTTAATATCCATGCACGAAATTTATATTCATTAGAGAGATTTTTAGCTATTAATTAAAATAAATTATTCAACATGTATCACTCCTTTGTTCAAAAAAAAAATACAGCAACAAAATGCATTTGAAAAGTTGTACAGCTTTGTTTGATGTGTCACGCCCGGTAGTATTATCAGTGGATGCTAGCAGTACCGCTTTAGGAGCGGTGCTTATGCAGGATGGTCGTCCAGTAGAATATGCGTCACGAACATTAACTGATACACAACGTCAGTGAAAAGGAACTGTACAAAGGTTTAATCAGTATATATTTGGCAAGAAAAATATTATGGTGGAAACAGACCATAAGACGTGTCGCAAGAGTGTTCGATTACAACGTATGTTATTAAGATTACAAGTAAATTGTCCAAATTATAAACCAAAATTAATGTATATTGCCACCTAAGTTGACATTCATCAAGTTAATCTCCTTATGAGTAATGTGAAAATGTCAAACGATAAATTAAATTTAGTCAGAGAACATACATGTTGTTGATTTTTGTGAATTGCTCCATTACATTAATAACAAGTGGCCTAAATACAAAAATAATTTACCTGAAAAATTAAAGAAATTTTGGTCTTACAGAGATGAATTACATAGCATAAATGGAGTTATTTTCAAAAATAATTTAATTGTCATTCCGCCATCATTAACTAACTATCGTACATGAGGGTCATCTTGGTATTGACCGATGCAAAAGGCGAGCGCGGGAGGTGATTTTTTGGCCAAATATAACGCATGATATCGAACTTCATGTTAAAATGTGTTCAACTTGTCGAGAACTCAAATTATCCTAGTAAAGAACCCATGATCCCTATTAAAATACCTAACTTACCATGGAATAAAATTGGTACAGATATTTTTGAATACAATATTACTTAATTTTAGTTACTATTATTCGGGTTTCATTGAAGTGGGAAAACTAAACAACATAACCACAAACTCAGTAATAAACATAATGAAGGAAAGTTTTATGGTATACCGGAATCAGTCATAAGTGATAATGGTACACAATTTACAAGTCGTGATTTTAAACTATTTGCACATCAATGGGGTTTTACACATATAACGTCATCCCCTAATTATCCACAATCAAACGGGAAAAGTGAGAGAGCCGTCCAAACTGTAAAAAAAATGATAAAAAAATCAGTTCATAGTAATGAAGATTTCTATTTGAGTCTATTGAGTTATAGAAATACTCCCCGGGATAATTTGGGTTCTCCAGCACAGCTGCTGATGGGGAGACAAATTGTAAATTACCTGTACATCCAAAGTTGTTAAGGCATGATTGTAAAATATCTCATAATTTTGTTCATAAGAGTTTATTAAATAAACAATTGAAAAGTAAAATGTATTATGACATACAAAAACATTGCCAGAGTTAAATGTTGGTGATAACGTCATGATATTGGATCATAATAACAAAATGCATGGACAAGTTATTTCTAAGTGCCCAACTCCACGTTCTTATATAGTGAAAAATAGACGAGGTGCAACATATCGACGTAACCGCCGACATTTAATAAAATGCGAGCCCAAGTGCAGTAGACAAGCGATGGGGATAATACTGAGCAGGATACTTTAAAAAAAAATCATTTTGCCGTTCCATGTTCAAGTAATACTAATTATTTATCTAATTCATCTAATATCCATAAAAAACAAATTGAGGGCAAAAAACCCATATCCATATCCCCACCGCTTACTCGTAGTAAAGCTAAGGAAATGAAAATGAATATTGATAATATTAATTTACACTGTAACAACTGTAAGAATAGGGGTGGTAGTGTATAAGTAGTTTTAATCAATAGTTTTTCTTTATTGTTTATTTCCATACGTAGACTTATACATACCAGTGTTAGAAAGTATATTTTGTTTATTTGTTTAAGGGAAAGATGTTGTAGGTAGGTCAACATTAATTATTGTATTCCCTACCTACTTATTTAGAATAAAGCAGTTATCGTCGTAACATAATGTTTCATTGACACAACATATCGGATATTTGATAGTTTCGGTTACGGTTACGGAGCTCCCTAACATCTCTGATCCTATGACTTAACTGCCTAATATGCACTCTACAACCGACATACAAATTTCAAAGGAAGCTGCTTGGCGGTAAGAGTCATGAGACGACTTTTTACAGTTCACCCCTGCTCTTGTATTTTGTCTTCTCGATATTTCGATAGTACTGTTATAATGAGCAAATTACTTTACAGTAGTCATAACTGTAATGTAATAATTCCAATAAAACGTAGTAAGATCATGTATTCTTCATTATAACACAAAAATTAGGAACACATACACATATAATATCTATATATAGTATAAAAGTATATAGTCGTCAATAGACACGAATACTACAGGCCTTACGAGATCATGCTGACACCCATAATGGCTCTCATATGTTGAGATTTCGGAGGTACGACTCCGTACTATAATGTCAATGCTCAGTCATCGTCGTTTATTTCTTTGTTAGCTATTACAATAGGTACCAAAGTAAAAATATGAAAGATCCCAACGTCGACAACTTAGAGGAAGACTAGCACGAAATTTATATTCTTAAAAGCTAAATTAAAATAAATTGTTCAATACATACTCGTTGTACACTTTTTCCTGAATTTCCGAATGCGTTCCAATACATATTAGTGTGTACAGCAACTCGAAACTTGACGTGTCGAAAGTGGCCAGCAGTAAATTGTCTACCAATTGCCTAAGTTGTTCATCAGTAAACAAACGAACACCGTTAACCATACTTTTTTCTAGTATTATATTTAACGCACTTTGGAATTTTTCCGCTGTAAATAAAATAATATTTATTATTACAAAATAGCAAAGGAAGAAAGTAAAACAATTCAATTTTATTCAACATTGTCGAATTGAGCATATTAAAAGGTTGTAGAAAGCGATTTCATACATTCGTGTGAAACTTTTAAAAAGATGGCAATATTGATGTGACTTTTTTTTAAAGGTGTCAGCACTAACTCTTTCAATACTTAGTTAATCCGTTTTTTTTTTCAGATCTTTCATTCAGATTCTTAATATCATGCTCTTTTACCTTGCACTTGTAGATATAAAAATAGGCCACACAAGATGTGCGTTATCTATACATATAAATAAAATTGCAGTGTCTGTTTGTAATATGCAAATAACCGTTTTTTACTACACGCATATGAATATAAATACGGTACATACACCAAAATAATATTTTTTACCATTTTTATCTGTCTGTCTACTTGTTCCGGCTATTCTCTGAAATGGCTGGACGGGACTTTTATTGGCAGGTAGCTGATGTAACAAGGAGTAACTTAGGTACGTACTTTTATTTTAAAAAAATAAAGTTAAATTCCACCCGGACGAAGACGCGGGTACAGCTAGTCTATCATATTTAACGTGTAAACTGCATACCGTGGTAGAAGCGGAAATTGAAACACAAACTGAATATGAAAACTATTGAAAATGCAATTGTCAACGCTATAGAGTAGACAAAGCGATACGAAAGGGTCAAGGTAGCATAACACCGTAGGTACTCTCTAATTTCATACAAACTTCTATACATATACTATATTTGTAGTACTATTATGTGCTAGTGACTAAATTAAATATGAACTTACATTCAGTTTCAACATTTTCCTGTTTTAACGATATACTTTCCAAGTATTCCGTTTTTTTCTTTTTTATCACCTGTAATTAGAAATACAACATTTTAATCAATATTAATATTTTGGAATAGTATACCTGTATTTATATACTTTTGCTTAGTATACTATAGTAGCACGAGCCTACCTAAGTACAGAATAGTACTTAGTACATATATGTAATATGAAAACGAATAAAATTGTGGGAAATGTATCTTTAACAAAATAATAAAATGTTTACGTTTTTGTAAAGAATATACATGTACCTAAATGTAGACAAAGAGGACGGGAAACAGTTGACGTAAATTCAGATAATATATAAAATACTATTCATTTTTTATAGTACTTTATATATATATACTATATATATTAAGAACACTTCTTTATTTTGAATACATCTATTATATATCATCTGAATAACAGGGTGTTGTTCAGATGTCTATATATAATTAATAGATGTATTTAAAATAAAAATCTTATACCTTTGCATTTTTATAGCATATTATATGTATTTTTATAAGAACACACCCTGTTGTTTAGATGTCCATATATAGTAAATATATGTATTCGAATAAAATATCAAAATCACATACTTTTCGCATCTTCTCTGAAATTATTTTTAATGCTTTATTTTGCTGCTGTCTAAGCGAACTGAAATAAAACATAATGTCTGGAATTGTCCATAGGTTTGCACATCTCAAAGTTAGAATATCCAACACTTTGTGTATTGCCGCGGCGTATTCATCATCAACCATAAATAATTTATCATCGCTGTTCACCCCCAATGCTGTTTCTGTATACAATATTACATATTTCAGTTCTATTGATCTTATTTTATATAATGTGTGTATAGTATATCCTTTATTCGCATTGTACAATGGTAAATAATGCACAGGTATATTTAAATAATAAACTAAACGCATGTGTAAAAAAACAAGACTGCTTAAAATGTCAAAACAATTAAAAAAAATCGTCATGTTATTATTTTTTTTATACTACAATGGTGGCAAACAAGCCTACGGCCTGCTCATATTCAATACTAGGAAACCATGAACAGAAACATTATTTTATAATTTTTCTGAGAAATATACGATTTTATTAATTAGACAAATGACAAAAATTAAGTACCTCTATGTTTATAATAAATATAACACAATATTGAAAATATATATCTTTTACTTACCACATGAAACTTCCAAAACTTTAATTATTAATAATTGACTAAAATCTTCATAATTTCCAACATTTGCCTCCATTGAGTCGGCCAGCCGTTTAGAGTGGCGGTTGAAGATATCTACATAGCCGTTTATAACTTTTGGTTTGAAAGCGTAATCCACTATACGTCTATTACGTTTCCATACTGCTACTGTAAAAAAAAATCTGTATGCAGACGTAGCATTGTGGTGAACATTGCACTGCATAATTGATTTTTTTAACCCCGTTGGGTTCAACATATTAAATTAAGCTCGAAGTGTATATTTATATATATATATATATATTCGAGAACACTTCGAGCACAAATTTAACGTGGGTGAAATCGCGGCCATAGCTAGTTAAATATATATATTTAACTACACATACCTGTGCCCGCGATTGCCCGCGATTTCACCCGCGTTAAATTTCAATATATCAATTTTAATATAAAATAAAGCATATATCTTATTCTGATGCATAAGCTATATTACTGTAAAGTTTAATCAAAATCCGTTCAGTTGTTTTTGCGTGAAAGAGTAACAAACATCCATACTTACGAACTTTCGTCTTAAGGTTATAGGAGCCAACGGAATATCAGCACTGCAGATTTATCTGCAGCTATATGCTGAGCTGGTTTCCTCTTCATCTTTGCAACACACAAAGCCACCTCAAATTTTAATTTCTACAATTTACATATTGGTATATTTCTGTATCTCATGTAGGTATGCTATGTGTTTGTAATTGACGAATAAAGTATTTATCTATCTATTTATCCTCTACTTAGTTTGGGACTAAATGGCGCTGTGTGAATTGTTCGGGGTTATTAATTTTATTATATAATAAAATAAAATAATTGTATTATACTTACAGTCAGCTGCAACCAGTTCCGCGCCAACATATGGCCGAATCACATTATATACGAATAACTTATCTAAACAACGATTTAGAACTATTGACGCATCATCCGGATCAGTAACAACTGAAAATAATAAATTAATAGTATTACACTACTTATACTAATTTTAAGATTAATAAATATATAAAAGAAATCTCCGTATTGATAGATAAAGAATATGGTATCTTCAATGTTAAACATGGTACAGAACTGTATATTATTTATTCTTTAATAAATTAGGTATTCCAAATTGTAATATTATAAATACAATATTGCGCTATATTTTGCTATAATCTATGGTTGAAGGTATTAGAGAGAGATAGGTATATGTTACACGTCAAATTTTTGGCGCCCAAAAGTCTTTATTTTTAAATATACTCTGTATAAACTACAGAATGAATTCAAATAACAGACCATCACGTACCATATAAGTGCTTATATTACAAAAATAATTTTATACATTACCATATACAGTTAGGAATGGCACCGTTACTTTAGTCAGTCCTCCATTAGTACTGCTGAATTTGCCAAATGCTATTAAAAGGTCAAAGTAGTCTAGAAAAAAAATACAAATTATATAGTAATTTTACTTGGGGTATAAAAAATATTCTTAAAAAAAAATCAAATTAAACAAAACTTTTTTTTCATGTAGGATATTTTAGCTGCTTATAACGTAAAATTTTTTATATTATTTTTTCCCTACCGTACAGTGCCCTTAAATGTGCCTTATAAAATACCCAGACGTGCAGTTCCAAATGAATAATATATACCGTTACCGTTACCCGTACCTTTGTATATGACAGAACCAATATTGGACCGAATTCCCCAATAACAAGGATAAACCACAATTACATTATAGCAACTGCTAATACTAACTCTATGATTCTAACTACATATAAGTATATTAATTTAAAATATACAATAATTACTACATTCTTCATAACAAATATTGTATTGTTTGAACACTGATCTTTCCTACTGTATGTATCAACTCAACGAGGTCCGTGAATACGATCGATGATAAAAATACTAATCAAATCGTAAATCATCATATAATTATATTTTATAATCATTTCAATTCTAAGGGGTGCAAAATAGTGTGAAGAAAAAACAACAGAATAAAACAAAAGGCGATCGAACGTTCGAAAACACACAGAGTTCTCTGTTTGAAAATTTTATAATAAATTATTTTTTTAGAGTATTGAACAATAATTACAATTCTTCTATATAAGGAATAGATGTAGTGAACAAATCCTATTGAATATGACGTTGAAAACACAAAAAGTTACATAAATAAATAATAACGTAGTATTCATTGATTTGACATTGAAGTAACTTCTGATGAGGTAAAAATGATACTTCATTGAGGCACAGTAAAAATAATGTAAAATAAAGGTAATAATTAGTAATTTTTATTCTACCTGTACCTTTTATGTGAAGGGAATGACAAACTGACAATTTTACGGCCCATCTGATAGCAGTTGGTAACTGCCGTTCTATATATGGATATGGAAATCACGTCCATTCGTTGACATTCTTCTGGACTAAGGTGTTATGGCTACTATTCTGTAAATTCACTGTGCTCATTAACACTTAATTGAAGGGCTTGCCTTGAAAACTGGCTGCTTGGTGGCTCAAATATGTAAGCCAGATATAACTTCATAGACAATATTTTACTAAGTCTGCCTCAGTAGACTCTGTATTATGTTGGATATTATATAAAAAAAATATTAATTACTGTAGATACCTATTTACAATACCGTACTAATAATAACTGCCACATGATAATGGCAGGATGTGTTATCAATGACAATATAATATACTAACTTGACTTACGTTAACCATATTTTTGCATTTAATTAGTGTCTACAATATCAATATTCGCTGTCTCTTTTAGTAATTAGCGCCGTAATTAGATACAATATTTTAATGTTTATATGTCGCATAGTTGTCTTATATACCTATGTTACTACTATATATATATTGCTTCACCCCTTTTTACCAAAATTGTAGGAGAGAGGAGTTTAAAATTTAGTGCATTTATAGGTTATATAGAGATATGATTTATACGGCCTGAGCCAAGGTTCGAACCTCTAGCGGTGCCCTTAGACTATAGTCGTATCGGTCAGGCGGGAGTTGACCAACCGTTGATTCAGCCGCTCCATAAGTTCTTAGCTATGGATCCCCTATGAACCTGCTGCGCCCGACAATATTAGAGTAGTAAAAAAAATTACAATTGTTAGAGTAGTAAAAAAAATTACAATTGTTAGAGTAGTAAAATAAAATTACAATTGTATAAAAGAGCAACACGCAAGTTTCTTGCTCATTCCTCTTGTGATGAGACAATTTTCAGCATTAGTGGTAGATTAAAAATATAAGTATGACTATTGAAAAGAGCTTAAATTTAAGTTTATTTGAATGAAGAATTTTATATTCTGTTTATGAAGTCTAACATTTTAGAATTGCTGTTCATCTAAAAACATGATCTATTTGTACTTATCATATTTAAATTATAAATACGAATATATTAGATTTATTTCTGTGTAGATTAATTTATGTTATTTAATTTAGTATACCAATAATTTTATATTCTATTTATTTATTTATGAAGTCTAATATTCTAGAATTGCTGTACATCTAAAAAAATGATTTATTTGTACTTATCATATTTAAATACTAAACACGAATATATTCGATTTATTTATGTTTAGATTAATGTATGTTATTTAATTATGGGTATTTCAGTATTTTAACCTTCCTCAGAAATCCTCTGTTGATTGATTAAAACCGCATAAAAATCCTTTCAGAAGTTCTTGAGATTATCAATAATAAACATGACAGGTAGGGTTGATGACTTTATTTTGTAAGACATATAGATAATATAGCTTTGCCTTTATTTGTTTATATGTATGTTTTAAATGAGCGTAAAATAAAAAAAAATACATCATAATTAAATGTTTACCTTTACTCCACAAAATTTTCAATGCATGCCCTACCAGTGGAAGATAGCCAGGTAGCACTTGAACTGGAGCTGATGGTTTGAACACGAATTGCCGCCAAAATAAATAAATAAATATCACTGATATTAATAAAGTTAACCACATTATGTTAGGTCAATTACGAGTAGGTATATTTGCTTAGAATAAAATTCTTACAACGGGACGAGTTACAAGTTGACTGCGTAGGTACCTGAATGTTATTATAATGAAATGTTATTTCATAATTTATGCGACTAAACTGACAATATATGCTTCAATGTAACTTGTATGTGAATAAAAAGCAGTTATCACAATTGGCTAAGACTATTATATTATAATTTATACAAAAAATATACAATAGAATTTAAATACTCCACTCGATGTGCTACGTTTTACTCTAGAAACTAATTTCAATCCAACGACTAACTGACATGATTTTGATATTTTAAATTACTCTTGATTATGTTTCAAAAGAACACTACAAATATCGATTGTATTGAAGTCGATATTGAGATTAAATTCCAGCGCGGACCCGCATTTTTCAGATCCCAATATAGGTATGTTGTAGTATATAACACACGCACTAAGTTTAAATGCTCATATGGCAATCAAAAATAGTATTCGATTTAAATTGCAGTATATCATTTAGTTAGACAGATGGATGCTTGTACGATTTATTTTTATCTTCAGCACACACAAAAAAACTTAAACAAAACAAAAAAGTGATTAAATAATTCTTGATGTAATACTATCTACAATTTAATAGTGTTATCCACAAACACAAAGGACAACTGCAACCAGTGAATATTATAAATACACTGTACCTACATTAATAAAATGCATCAGCCCAGTCGTTACACACGTATCTACCTAATATGTATATTACCTACCATTTTCTCTGATGTACTAACAGCCACTACACACTATACAGCAACTTCATAATACTACTTCAATTCAAAGTTACAATAATAATTTATTCATATGTCAATAAGAAAATCACTAAATTATAAACTGTTTGTACCTTTGTAACAGAGACTTTTTTTTAATAAGAACAATGTCGAAGATTTCGAAACGCTTCAAACAAATGCCTAATAAATTTAAAAATATAACTATTTTTTAATTTAATAGACAACGGCGTGTTAATATTGTTTCTATTTTTATAGGTTATGTATATAAAAATGTTGCATAATTCAGGTATATAACATATATACTATCATAATTGGTATATAGATATATATACAATTTTATAAGAGTTATGACAACATACAATATAATACAATTCTTAATGTTTTAATATAAGTGTGATTATTATAGACAATATCTAAGATTGATTTATTGAAAATATATTTGTTATTAATAATAAAGTTATTGAAACAGTATTCGCATTATAAATGTATGCACATAATCATGCACTGAGTAACAATATTCAATGCACGATGCATTGCGTATTTATAACTCGTAAAATTCAAGAGTTATGCAGGATATCGACGTATGTTTTATAAATTTATTTTATATATTTTTTTCTCAGTCGCATTTATTTTCGTCGCTCGATACTGATGCTGTGTCCTGCCGAGGGTTTCAGCATGACGTCCAGTTTTAGTTCGAGCTTAGTGTGATCCGCAAATACTTTGTAGTGTCGCAAAAGATGAGCCAGGGTTATCTTCATTGACATGAGGGCGTATGTTTTACCTGTAGAAAATGATACGATACAGATGCAAAAAAAGATATTGATATAAAATTATGTAATAATATTATACAACAGATGAGGTAGTCGAAAGGATAATCAACCGTCGATGAGGAGATGAACAGTAAACTTGACATTACTATATTTGCGTGGATATATTGAATCGAATGGTAAGATATAATCCTATTACAGTCTTTCGGAGAACTAAAAAAGTAGTAGAAGCGGGTCATAGAACCCTCAGATGAGGAACAAAGGACAAAGACCAATGAGATTAAAGCATGCTAAAAAAATATCTCAATCCTTTGCCAATACAACACATTTAACAATGAACAAAAGGGCGCGGACATCAGGAAACACAAATGCACTTGATTTTTTTTATTTATCACTATTCGGAAGATGATGGACAAATCTACTATAATCTAGATTTAAATGAAATATGGTACACATATATTAATGAATAAATTGTAATATGTTAATGAATGTATAGAATAGGTATTTTATACTTATATAACAATATAATTCATTGAATCTCTGAGTGATTCAATAATTTTCATGTAGAGATTATTACTACAATTTTCCTTAAGTGAAAATACTGGCACTAAACACACATAAAACGTACCAATGCACATCCGTCTGCCCATACTGAACCCAGCAAAGGCGTTAGGGTTGTCAGGTAACGAGGTGGGGTCCAGCCATCGCTCTGGTCTGAATTCATCCACAGTTTCACCCCACATAGGATGTCGGTGCAGACCAAACAGAAACAGGAAACACGTTCTCCCAGCCGCTAGTGTGTAATTCTCTGAGAAATATGAAATAAAATATATAGTATAATATGTACAGCAGTATTCATTTTATTAAAACACTAGCATATATTTTATATATCTGAAATGGTAAAACAAGGTGACAGTCAAATAAATAATAATTTCCAAAATAATATCACTGTCCATAAATGGGTATGGGTGGTGTGTAAGGTATATATATATTATGGGCCAATATTGTTACATAAGCAATATTAAGCTGCTTGAATTAATATAATAATCATTTAGTCCAAAAGTAAGCAGAGCTTTTGTTATGGGTATAGATAATTTTTTGTAAATATATTCGTAATATATATAGTTGGGGGGAAGGGGTAGGGGGGGTTCTAGTCATAGGACAATCCCATTGCTAACAATGCATGGTGCTGTGGTCAGGTACACCTTCACGCGGTTCCCCTGGAAACCATCGTAATAAATTCCTAGTGAACTTGTCACGAATCGCTAACTGACCAGATAATATGTTTATTTTATCATCTTGCACTGGTACTCCTCCAGCGTAAACCGTTAGCGCAAGCGGGGGCACCATACCATTATCATCCATAAAAAAATAAACATAGTAAACATCCAAACGGATACAAAAAATCATACTCATGAATACAAATGTTTATACCATGCAAGGTATCGAACTCCCGACTATCGGAAGTAAGACAGTGTGCTAAACCGTTAAACCACAGAGGCCGTCAAATATATAAATAAAACAAATACGTGTAATGTACACATACTTAATTGTACATTCTTGTCCAATCGCCTCGCCACTATCGGTACAATTGTGTGTATTCGCATACTTTCCTTGAGCACCGCCTCCAAGTACACGAGTTGTGATATATCGTGTTTATCAACATTCCTGTCTGAATCACCGAAAACATCTTGCAATCTGTACAAAATAGAAATTGCTTATGATTTACTGTCACAAATACCAGCAGTGGTACTTGTAGTCGGACCCCGTTGCTATATACCATATACCATATCAGGTCAATATCGCCGGGGGACCGCCCCACCTAAAAATATAGTGGTCAATTCCTGATAAATTCGCCACAATAGGCTAACTGACCTGACATCCCAACACTTTCCATTAGTACTCCGCCAAATTTATATCGTTACCGATGGTAAGTATTACATTAATATATACAATTTGAAAATTTAATATAAGTCTCTATAATGGGTCTATAAATAAATATTTTTCTTTATCGTCACTAGTTGAGTCCTTATTATCCCGACTTAGACAGAAAGGTCAGGTATTTGTACTCTCTGGCACTCTCTGGCGGAGAAAACGCTGATCTCAAACCACAATTAATCTGAGTGACGACGGTAGGCTCGCCCTCTGTTACGTTAAATTCAAATATGTCGCGCGCAATCTGAGCATGTGGAGTGTTGCATTCACCATGATGTCGCCTAATAACAATGTTTCTGACTACCTCATCTTTAATAACAAACGTGAAGGTATGTGTACTCACTCTTCGAAAACTCGATCCTGCGCCTCAGGATGGGATCCCAGTAATATCAAAGTGAACATCAGAACGTTTGCAGACGTGTCGTGCCCTCCTACAATCATAGTGTCCACGTGTTCTCTAATCTCCCTGTCATTAAACACGCCTTTTTCTATGGACAATTCCAACAGCAAATCCATGAACGCCTTAAATTTACTACCTGCAAATAAATTATACACAAATTATTTAAAATGTAATGACTATTATCTTTAAGAAAAGAAGAACACTGTAAGTAATAAGATGTGTGTTATTTATTATGCTTTTAGAAAGGGTACGAGGGTAGAAACAAATCAAGAGCCGGTAACGCACTTATGATACCCCTGGTGTTTCAGATGATAGACAATGGTAACCGTTTCATCAGAAGAGTTGTATTCTCATTTACCACCATTGTGATATAAAAATTACATAAAATGTATTTTTTGTAAATAAAAATCTAACCAGGCCCATTACATTTCAAAATACAATATATTTTAATTTAATTAATGTCTTTATTTTCTTTAAATTGTTTTATAAGATATTGATAGAGAAGTATATTAAAACGAGTAACAGTATCAAATATTTTTCATCAATTTCGTAAATTTATCTACAATTATTTTAATTCAAGGGAAGGTTGATTATTAGTATTACAATTAAATTAAAAAAGCAAATATAACATACGTGTTGAACCTCCAGTTTTTCTTTCAGGCAATACATTACCAACGAATTCAGACTTTCTTCTTTGTAATACCTAGAAATATATATTTTCCTTTATTAATTTATAAACTTAATTTCTTTATATAACGCCTTTTAGCTATAAGAATTGTGACTACTGATTTAGGAAGTCATCTATTCTAAGCTAACAAAAATGTTACATAATTAAAACATTGAGGAACTCTTTACCATATTCAACATTAAAAAAAAAATGTTAAGTTATTACTTCGTAATTGATAATTGCAGACATGACTGAATACCACTGAGATGAAATTACCAAAAAAACTTACCGTGTTTGACATGTTGTGTAAAATTTTCAAGCACTCGTCTTGTTTTTTCTTGACACCGCTAAAGCGGAATGTTAGGGGACTATGCAACCAGAACTTCTGGAACCTATCCACCATAGTGTTGAAGATTTGTTCGGCAGCCACCACATATTGGCTGTTGAGGAGATTATGGTCCGTGAAGTCTACTCCCAACGCTGTCACTGGAAACGACAACAATATTTATTTTAGAAATTACAGAATAACAGGCGTGACATCTTAGTCCTCTAGAATAGCAAAAAATAAATAGATGAGTGGTATCGCCAGTGCATAAGTTACGATGAAGTCCATGGTGTTGTTAAAGTGTATAGGTGGTGATAACCGCTTACTATCAGGTGGGCAGGTAGCCATATTTATATTGTATCACTGGCTGTATTATTGTTATTTGCGCGAATTGGAATAAATTGTATCTGTCTGGGTATTTTTTAAATATATTACATACGTATTCACAAGAAATAAATATCTATGTATTTACATCAGTTGTAATACATAATACATAATGCTTAGCTCGGGAAATGGGAGCTGTGTGAATTGTGTTGAGATTTTATTATTAATCTATCTATTCGATAAATTTCTTTCCAATCTGTTTAAAACTCGTTGTCTTTAGCATAGTCATCAATGTATATGAAATTATATAACCCTTTAGATATATAGAAACTTTTTAGGTTACTGGCAGTGGTTTAATTAAGTAATATTAAAAATATAATGTAATTTTATAGTAGTTATCATTTTATACTCTAGTTGATAGTTTCACTTACAACATATAGTCTCCAAAGCGTTATGTCGTGTATATGTCCAATGGTCGAATGCTCCTTTCCCCACTTCAACCGACAAATCTTTCACCAACCGTCTCGATTGACTGTTAAATACTTCAATGAACCCGTCCAAGACCGTATTACTGAAGGCTGGGTTTAATAGTTTACGATGATTTCTCCAAATTGATACTGAAACAAATTAATGTAACGATTTGGTATCTTTGCATATTATAAAATGAATTCGCTTCCATTGTCTTTTTACATAGATCTTTTAAACTACGCAATGGATTTTAATGATAGATTGAGTGGTTCAAGATAATATGTACATTGTACATGTTCAGGTGGGTAGCTAGTATATAATAAGTTGTTAGCTATATTATAAGCGTACATCATCTAAAAGCAGGCCTTTGATTGGAGTAGATAATTTTGTGGTGTTTGTATCGATATTTTGTATTATATATAGCAGGGGAGTGCTAAAATTTCCGTAGACACATACAAATATTTGGTATCCACCAAAAAGAAATCAGGATGATAACCTACTGCCACTACCATCTTTGTCAATTTTATGGTCATTGCCTTGATACTATTATTTGAGGTCGTCGCGATATCATTATTTTTATAGATCCCTAGCAACTGTCGTATCTGAAAATATTCTTCTTTTATACATATCATTTTTCGCACAATCCATGCATCTTTTCTTCGTTGGTCCTCTTCCTTTACATCCATCGATTTCACATTAAAAACACTTTTTTAAATAATGGTTTGCATTGGAACAAAAACATTTTTTTTTGCTACAATTGAAATTAGTTTTTTTTTGTACAATAATCCTATCTGATGGCTCTAGCAACAAGAAATAAAAAAAATAATTATACTCACATGTACCCGTAACCAATCCTTCACCGAGCCATGGTTTGGCAAAGTCATAGAATCCATCTTTTTGCAAACAATTGTTGGCCACCGTAAAAAAATCGTCCGGATCAGTTACAACTGCAATTGAAAAACATTTAAATAATATTAATAATATCTCAGGACAATTCACATAGCTACATCTAGGCATAAGCTAAACAGAGCTTGTTTTATGGATACAACTGATAAATATTATACATAAATAGTTTTTTAAAAGAGATTGCTCCTAAAAAAAGTATTTATAAATGCACGTGTAAAGTTATTATCTTGCCTATGACTTTAAACATTACATGAACGCATCCTAATTACAAAGAAATTGTTTGAGTTTACAATTAGTAATAGACCTTCTCCTTTAGATCTTAATGTAGTCGCACTAAACAGTTTATTAGAGTTCTCATAGTATCTGTACCATAATGATGGATGTAAGTTGTTTAATGAATTTTACCATATGATTATTTGGTCCTAAGCTTTTCGTAAGTAAAAGCCTGGCTACCGAGCAGACATAATTTTCTTATCACAAGACAAAAAACGTCAGGCAGGAGAGATAATGACTGTAGTTTTCGGAAGAATTATAACAGAAACGAGTACTTACCATAAATCGTCCTTGGACCAATGGCAGCAGACACAACTCCTCCAGTTGCATAACTTTTGTTTGCCAAATCTACCATAGAGTGCCATAAATCTATAATTACAGAAGTCGAAAAATTAGTATGGAAATAAACTGAACATAAAATTCTTATTTCACACTTTTTTGTAGTTTATTTAAACTTAACTTGTAGTTTCTATCTTTCCTTTGCTTCAGAAAACTGCAATAATTGCCTTTAAACTAGATAATGAAGTATCTGATAACTTTTTATTACGATATTTGACTGTTTTCTATTGGGTTTTAATAATTAAAAACAATTTAAATATAGTACTATTGACAAAATAGTAGTACTTAGTACTAGTATTTTGTCTATCTATATATATGTATATATAGACATAGCATAATAAGACAGTCTGATCAGATATCTAAATATACAAAGTATAAGACAAGATTCCTGTTTTCTTTATCATCATAATTTTAACATTTTCACATTAATAATTGATCAGATATTCTTAATTTGATGGATGAACTGCGGAATATTGATATATAAAACAATTAAGACAATTTTCAACCAAATGAAAAAGATGTTCTGGTGTTCTCCTGTGTGTTATCTCAGAACTGTTGTTGTTTGTACTTTCCTTGCCTCTACACGTATCTATACTAATATCATAAATACGAAAGTAAGTCCGTCTGTTTGCTACATTTTCATGATTAACAATCGAATAAGATCTTAATGAAATTTGCTATGAAGATAAATAGTACCTATTATAGACCACCATAGATTATCACTTAATAAAAAAATCAATCTAGAAAGAAAATTAAATAGGGGATAAAATTTGTGTAAACAAAGTCGCACACGCTATTTTATGCTATATGGTGGCTATATTTTTACGTTAGATGGTGCAGCCTAGAATCTTCAATAGTTTTCTATATTCGGTGGTGTTATATTTATATTTAGAAAAATAATAAAAAGGTAAACAGTACTTTTATCTATTCTACAAGCGTGCGACACGCCGATATCTCGATATTACAGTATAAATAGATGAAAATAGATAAAAACTTACAGTTGCTGTCTCCAATAAGCCGATGAGCATGTCCAATCACGGGCAATGCTCCCGGGCACATGGGTGGCTCATTTTCCGTATCTCGTGAACGTTGACTCCAAAGCCAATATACACTTAACAGACATACCGTCCAAATCAATATTAGCACAATCATTTCACTAACACAATAGTCCTTCTCGTTTTATACAATAGAACACACATAGAATAAAATTAATAATTAAAAGTTTATTTAATGTAAAAGCGTAAATAATAGTAATTTAAAAATTAAAATGATGCTGAAATAAGAGAAACTTAAATGAAATTACGATTGACCCCGATTACAATTTGATAGTAACCAAATTGTACACGAAAATCTCTAAAAAAAATTTAAAGTTATATAAAAATTAAGTAATTATTATAAGTACAAAAGCAATACAAGTATACGTTGAACAATTGCGTAAATAAACAACGCAATGTTACAATTATGGATTTCACTTTATAGTTTTGTACTTCGAGGAAATCATTGCACATTTAATAATTGAGACAATTGCTCATTTCCCTTATTTGCAATTAATAAACGTTTTTTTTTTAAATCTTATATCACTGGCCTTGAAATTAATCCTTGAGTGCAATTTTTATTACTTAAAAATTATTAATATTACGAGTTCCTTTTTAATAATAAGGATTGAATAAGATAAATTAATGAATTATACTCAATATCTGTTAACAGTAGCTAATCTTGTTTTATATTACGCCGTGCATAACGAACTGCGCAGGACCTTACTGAAAGCTGGTTTATATTGGGGAAAGGTATGTAGTAACTACTGCCTGTACTGTAGTATTTACGTATAAACCAAGAGACAGTGTTTATCCTTCACAATTATACTGATATTTATAATTTATTCACTTATTTAAAGATTCTTACAAAGAATATCCTATCCTATTATGATACAATACAAACTTTTTGTCTATTCTTACAGCTAAGTGCCTTTATAATATGAAGTTCCTTACAGTATAGTCGCCAACCTCAATAGAAAATACACTCATCATTATAGGCTGAAATGGAGGCAACACGAAAATTTATATGTGAACTTAAACATTTCTTTTTATTTATAGAATAATTACTATAATAACCACCTATTTTTTATCTTTTGGTCTTTCTTTCTTATGTATTTTCATGGTAATAATTGCGGCCTTTAAACTTATGGGATGCTACGATTGCCAATGTATAGCAATATCTAGTACTAAATAATCTTTCGTACATAAACGTATACACATCAGTCAGCTCCAAGACTACATTTGTAACGATACGTCATTCATTGCAACTGTTTCAATGTATGAACCTTCGTAAATTTAAATACCAGTGCAGTTTCCTTTACAACACTATCAGTTTGCTCCGTTTTCAATTGCGATCTCACTATTCATATACTATTCTCACGTGAATTACAGTAAATTTGTATAGGTACCAAGCACCGAATACATTCAGTAAATAGGTATTAGGTGTCGTTGAAACATAGTTTTTTTGTGTGGATCTTTTTAATAATAATAATTTACCCTGACGTCTGTTATTCCAGATGAGGTATTCAAAACTGTCATCACCTTGGCTATAGCAATACTATGCCTGCAGTATGCTAGGTATATTTGAATCCAAACTAACAGAGGACCTACTGCAGCCTCTTGAATTGATTTGGTTAATGATATCGTCACTAGAGAGTTGAAAAAACTAAACGGGCACAATTTTTAACATATTGATACTCTACCTTTCTTTATCAAATCAAATAACAATATAAAAATCATTTATTCATTAGAACAATTAGCCACTTTAGAACATTTGGTTTTTTATAAATAGTTTTTCTCTACCATTATAATGTAAATATTAGCTAAACCAATTAACATATGTCTTATTATTAGTAATATAGTACATGCATATGTTATATACATTATGATCATTGATTGCGTAGTTTACAGTCACGTTGTTGGCACGCGATGTCTTCACAATATAGGCGATATTCGTTGAACTCCTCTCCGGTCCAATGGTTTAAATACAGGTTCTTTTACTCTCAAGGCGAACTCTTTCATGTATGTACACGAAGGTTACTTGTACAGTAACTCAGTGCACGTGTCATGTATCATATATCCTTTTTTGTCTGTAGAAATCCTTCAAAAGACTATCTATTGGTCATAATGAGTCTTATATAGGCTTATTGTGACATTGGATGTCTTAAATGGGCTACACCGAACCTTGAACAGGAGCATAGGATATGAGCAGCTGGCACTTTGATGTGAAATCAGCCCCGATTTTGCTATACATGAGGTAACAACACTTCATAGATATTAATTGACGGTCTCGGTGGTTTAGCTGTTTACTACCGATGGTCGCTGGTTCGATTCCTCATTCCAATTAACAAGAAGCCGTCGAATACTGGTTACCTTTTAAACTCTCACCAACTGAAAATCGCTGGAAACCCTGTTTCCAGCATTACGCTGAATCAGTGTCCACATCGACTCAGTGTGTCAATTATTGTTTATAATTTTATATAAACTGTTTGTATTTAATTTTTTATGTGTACGAGTCAATAAATTCTATTCCATTCTATTTTATTTTCTTTGCAATGTATAAGTCGATCTAACAGCCGACAATAGATAATTAAATAATAATAAAAAACAAAATCATGGACAATTTACACAGCGTCATCTAGTCGCACGATTAGCAGAGCTTGTGTTATGGGTACTAGACAACTAATACTTAGATATTTTTTTTAATATATACACAGATAACAGCCAGCCCGATACAAACAATCATACTCATAATTCAAATGTTTGCACCATGCGAGGAATCGAACCCGCGACCATCAAGTAACGCAGTGTGCTAAGCCGCTAGATCACCGAGACAGTCAATGGATTGTAATAATGATGTGTTAAATGTAATAAAAAAAGTATATTCCATCTGTCTGCATATTAATAGGCCGCTGACTGGCTTCAATGGTCATCGATGTGCGATACCGGTAATTGCAATAAAAGAATAATAATTAACGGTTAGGTACGAACCGAGGTTACAAACTGTGAAGAATCGTATTAATGTGAATCAAACTGAATTATTATGTTATACAATGTTAATTCATATTGGAATGTATATAGAATAAATATTTGTGTAATTATATATAATTACTAATATTTGTCCACGCATCAACAGTCGACCGGGTCGGTTTAAAAAGTAATTTTGCATCGATTTCGTAACTGATAGCGGGTAGATAGAGAAGTAAGTCAAATAACGAACGACTAAATAAATGAATAAATAATCCCGGACAATTAACACAACGCCAACTAGTCCCACAGTAAGCAGAGCATGTGTTATGGATACTATAAAACTGATAGGAATTCAAAAGTTTGTACAATACAAATGTTTGAATTGAACCCGCAACCATCAGAAGTAAAGCTATGTGCTAAACCGCTATAACACAGAGGCTGTCAAAATCAAATAAATGAAATAAAACTTTTCATGTATTATTGAAAAAATTTCAATTTTTATTTTAAACTTATAATTTATTATTTCCATACAATCATATACTAAATGTGTATCTAAGAAAAAATATTTATTTATATCACTTTACTAGATGACATTTACATTTAAAATCATATTAACAGAGTGGGTGCTTCTGAAGACACGAAGTTTTTTGTCCAAAATACTGAAACAACAAAAACTGTAACTGAGTTTATAAGTTTAACAAAATTACATCCCATTAACAAAATTATCCCCATATAGGGCACGAATTTAATCGTGGATGAAAAAATCGTTAATAAAGCTCCTTGTCCATTCTTCAAAATGTATCGATGATGAATTGGAGTCATGCATCTTATTCTTATAGTATAGTTCAACTACTCAATCATAACACCTTTACATTCATAGTAATAGTAAACAAATACTTGATCATTACTTTTAAACTTTCGTATTTAATATACATTATTTAAATTATTAACCGGGTCTTAACATGAATAATTTTATGGCAAATAAAGGTATTTACCTCTCTCGACGTTTCGACTAGGTTGCACTAGCCGTGGTCATGAGCTAACTGGAGTAACAGCGATGTCAATGTAGATAGGTGACAGCAGTTTTTTCTTCATCTACCGTCACTAGATTGTGTAACGAAAGTTCGCGTTTCGTTCAGTTAGCTCGTGACCACGGCTAGTGCAACCTAGTCGAAACGTCGAGAGAGGTAAATACCTTTATTTACCATAAAATTATTCGTGTTAAGACCCAGTTAATAATTTAAATAAAATACTTGATCGATCTTAAAAAAATCACATATAGATAGCGGCATACCAGCGAGTAACAGGCAACGCCGTGAGAAACAACTAATCCTTACTTAATACTATGTCTGTCGCGCTTTCACGCAAAAACTAAACCGATTTAAATAAAATTTTGTACACAGATACCCAATTTTTAAATCTATAAGTCGGTTTAGTTTTTGCGTTAGTTTAGTCTAAACCTGCTACTTTTTAATGCAAAAAAAGTGTTGTGACTATAGCAATTGATTAAAGATGAAAAACGACATTCAATTTGTGTAAAAGAATTACCTTAAAGAGGATAAATAAAATAAGGGATGAAAATTCATATGGAAATTCATCATTCGTCGTCTATTCCACGCAGACGTAATCGCAAGCGCAGCTAGTATAGTATACATATACAAAACATACACTCTAAATGTATTGCAAGCCCAACGCAGCAGCATGAGCCAGCACCGCTTCAGCTGCTTGCCTGGTCTCCAAGTGTGATTTAGCGGCGTCGTGCCACGAGGAAGCCGCGGCACGAGACGCCCCCTTCAAGGAATCCACGTAGCGAAGCGCCGCTGCCAAGTTGCCGCGTTCAATCCAAAATCTACTTGATATGGAATAACTTATTAAATAGAGCTAGGACGGTCGAATTCACATACTCACATAAATGATGTTTATTTTCTTGTTTGTATAAAAAATATTTATATTGTATTAACTTATAAACAATATAATATAAATTAATCAAATAGTGAACAGTGAGGGTTTCATATAAAAACGACTGGACGAATTTGGACAAAATTTTCACGAAATATGTTGATGAATTATTATTATACACACAAACAAATATAAACCCTAAGAAAAATAATCCCGTAGCGGTAATTTATTAATTACTTTCAAAACATATCCAAGTATTCCTAACATTTGTCTGGTACCTATGACGCAAACACTGCTTAACTTGGGAATAGATGGCGCTGTGTGAATTGTCCAGAATCATTATTACTGTATAGAAATTTATAATTATATATATGAGAGTGAAAACAAATCCCAAAACAGAAATATCTTCCTGTCAACATATTATGTATCTCAACGATATATTTACATAGTATAAAATAAATATCGCCACCGCTGTCTCTTCGCTGATATCTTTTAAACAACGAATTTCAATGCAGTTTTCAGCAAACAGTGATTCAAGAGGAAGATTTTTATGAATAATACATGTATATATAACTGTTATAAGCCTCTTTCGAGAAATTCAAAGGTTTGTAATGCATCCATATAAGCCGAGACGGGTAGCTATCTATAACTTGATATCAGTAGCGGAAAATTAGGCCATATCTGAACTTGCCTGGCTCTTTGTAACAAATCGAACGTGTCTAAATTATTAAATGGCTCCTGGAGTGGTTTGTCAATTTCTCCTTGTGGTATGCCTGAAACCTATAATAGACGTCAAAATGTTAATATTTATAAGTATGTATAATTAGTCAAAATCACCGGATCATACCACGTTTTTTTTTTAGATTTATTACAGTGATTCAACCGTCATGAGCACGGGTGATTTTTACTAATTATACGTATAAATAATTTTACAACACTCAACTAAAATTATATTTGACTCGTATGTATTTAAATAGTGCCAAGTAAATTAGGTCGCTGATTTTGATATTCCCATCTACCTTATAAACAATTTCGACTAGAAGTAGACTGTATAAAGTCGTAGCGTTAGTATCGCAGCATCACCTGTTTCAGCAGCCAAGTAGCTTGCTTTAAAAGCTGTATTTCAATTCTAGAGTGCAGATTAGGCAGTGAGTTTACAGGATAAGAGGCATCTTAGTCCTTAGTAATGCATGATTGATATCAGGGGTGTTACATGATAACGTGATGTCCGTAGATAGTCCGTTCATATAGACCAAGGTTACCGCTTACCATCAGGTGAGCCGTCTGCTTAGTTACCATTGATATTACATAAAAAAAGGCGTGAAGATACATAGATCGGGCTAACCTTCATAAACAGTAGAATAGATTGCAACCAAGACAAAAAGAAGATCGGCAGTGGTCCACCATCCTGCTCCACTAAGGCTACCTTCAATGCAGTTTTCTCCATCTAATAAAATATAAAACATTACTAGAACTAAACTACTGTAATTACTAATATACAGGTGGTAGGAGATTATTACTAATACGAGTTAACCAGCAATGTACTTGTAGAGTCGATCTCCACGCGGTCACTACTGGAAACCATTGTAGTTTATTGTAGATGAAGTCATCATGGTGGCCTAACTGAACTAGCCTCATTTCATGATCATTCTATCATACTGGCTGGCATTACTAGATGGTAATGCCATCTGGTGTCTGGAACACAGCTTACACAGTAAGCTACTTTGCCGCTCAAATGTGAGATTAAGATACCGCGCTGAAGACTTTCTACAAAGTCTACTTCCTCGGTGCCCTCAGACTGAAATCGTATCCGTCAGACGGCAGTTGGCCTTCAGCCGCTCCTAAGTCCTACGGGTTTGGAGTGCCATCTGCACTCGCCTCTTATCATTCAATGAAGCTGTAAAGGCCAGCTGCGGTCAACAGCATTCGAGTAGTCCGAATAAAAACCAAAGAATCAAAGTAGCGTTTTGTAATAGTGGTTATATGTACAAAATAAATAAATATAATGACAATATGTATATACCACATGATATCTCTCACGAAGCACACTTTCAGGTACAATGCCTTTCTCCCGTACAGAGTCCGGTATAGCCTTTAGAACAGTCATCACCAACTTATCATCATCGCCTGTAAATTACATGTTTTTATCACATTTATAATTAATGGGATAATCGAAATGTGATCGCTGGATGATGAACGATCACCACAGTCATAGAGAACAGAACATAAATAATCTTTATTAAAATAAACCGAATTTTACCATCACACTACCCGGCAGAAATTGCCCCTGGCAACTACAGCTAACAGTTGGAAAGACGGCTTCGATGATCTAGCGGTTTATCACACTGCTTCCATGGTCGTGGGTTCGATTACTCATAGGATACAAACATATTTATAATTATGATAGTTTGTATCGGTCGGTGATTTTTATGTAAGTATTTACAAATAAAATGTATCTAAGCTTTTATATCGGTTATCTAATACTCATAACACAAGCTTACCTTAGGACTAGATGGCGCTGTGTGTGAAATATTCAGGCAGGCAAGCATATTATTATTATAATTCTACAAACCAGAAGCCTTCTCAATGGCTTGCAATTCCTTGTTAACCTTCACTATAGGGTCGCCCTTTTTGGTGGCGGCGAGTAAGGATGCGCCCGCAGCCCATAGCTCTTGGGATCTGCGAGTCTCTCGCTCGGCTTTTAAGCGCTCTAACAAAACCAATATATTCCGCTTTTAATATATGTACAAGTATTATAATTTAATATTTACAAGCTGTGCCAACGGTGATACTAACAACTTGAAATTATGTGTCATTCTAATACCTATAGGCTATATTATTGTAAAGTTTCATTAAAATCCGTTTAGTAGTTTTTGCGTGAAAGAATAACAAGCATCCATTCATCCACACTTACAGACATCGTAGTGATATATGATATGTGACTCCCATCCTCCATCTCAAGTGTAACCTATTGTAATGCATGATCTGAGGTTTCTCAACCATATCTCAACATTCCACTACAGTTTACAAAGCAAATTACTTGCTATTTACGACGGAAATGTATAAACTTCATATAAAAGATGCATTTTTATTAACTGTATGTAGACCAACAATTACACATTAGTTTGGTCAAAATATAAATTAATCAAATGGAAAAAATCAAAATTAAGCATACTATAACCTAAAACCTTTGTTAATGAAAATGCATGCCATTAAGTTTATCCTCGACAATTTTCAGTTTTGCTGCCATTTCTTTAAGTTGATGGGCGAACATTCTTCTTTCAGTCGCCACATTCTCCGCTACCATTTTATTGAACTTCACCATTACCTAAAAACAGAAAGTAGGTTGAAATAGAAGAAGAACGATTCGACTTTATTCTAGAATAACCATAATCCGAGTTCTGTTATGAATTTAGATACTTTCTTGTAGAAACGCGAGATCTAATCGATTTTACCTAGGTAGTCTTCCAGATCGATACAAACAATCATACTCATTAATACAAATATTTATACCTTGCGAACCCGAAACATAAAAGAAGGTTAGCTGATAGGTTAGTCTAAGTCTGTTCTGGTTTCGGTAGATCATTGAGGCCGTCAAAAATGGAAGCATATCTTATTTCATTTCAGAATGAAAAAAGGTAAGTGAGACAGTATATATATCTATTGCTTCTATTTCTAGTTTTCTTCTAGTCTTCTAAAAGGATAATGAGTAAAGAGTACCACGACGGATACATAACGATATGTATACATGATGTGGTTCAATTATATAGACAATCGTTATCACTTACATTAAGCTGAGTGGTAAGCCGGTTTGCCATTCTACTTCCATAAAAGGCCTTTAGTTTTGTTAAGTAAGATCTGATGATGAAATTTGGGCCAAGTTAAATTGTTTAAGACTTTTTTTTGTGTGTTGAACTCTTAATTTATTATTTCTATACAAATATTTGGAAACGTAAAGAAGTGTAAAACAGCAACAAAAATGCGAATAAAATAAATGTAGAAATGCTCCGTAGAAAAACAACGAAACATGCAGATATGTTTCAATATATATATATATATATATACCCATCTAAAAGTTTCATTATGAATTCGTAAGTTTGTTTGGATTCGTGTTGATAACCAATGATTCATTAGTTAGTGATAGAGACTTACCTCTTTCTCTTTCTGAAGAAGTCTTGTTTGCACATTTTCTTGGTGTCTCGCCAACTGTTTCTTCAAAGCTTCTTTCAAAGTCATATCATTAGCAGCTTTTAAATCTTCATACTGTAATAAATAGTATGTAAACAAAATGTATTTTGAGGCATTTTGTAACATAATAAATATTTTGCTACGAGACTGCAACATTTAAAATTTACGAAGAATCGGTACAGAGGTAGTATGGACAGTAAAGAAAGTAATTCTCGAAGATTTTTGCTAAATCTATCATACAAAAAACAACTTTTTTTTAAAACATGAATGATGAATATGCACCCGCGTGGGTTACACACTGCCAAAGTAATAGTTTAGTTAAAGTTAGGTCACGTAACCCCTCACAGTGAATTTACTATGTAGACAATTTCCAAAGAACTTGTTGGGGTCGATCTTAGATGATACTTTAGAAATAGAGCTACTAATCATCATCACTAACCTCTCCCCCTTAGATGAAGATGAAGATGATAACATTATCATTGTGATTATTATAAGCTTCAACCAACAAGCAATTTGTAAACATATTTGCCACTACAATTGTATAAAAACTAAAGTATTATTGCTATTGAATGGTGAATGTTGTCACATCGATCAAAAATGTTAAGATATAGATCATACTCGTCTCTTAAATTCTTTCTCCAAGTCGGCTCTTTTTCTCTTAAGCTCTGAATGTAGATTTGCTTGCCATATTTTCTTTTCTTTTTCACAATGCGGTAGAGCTGAAAGAAAAATTATATATTCGGGATTCGTTAAAATTGTCCGAATTATAATATAGTTAGGAATTCATTCATATCTTTCCAAAGGACTATGAAAGATCTAAGATTTAAATATAAAAAGAAGGTATTTTGATATTTTAAACTTAGTCCCTTAAAATGTTATAAATAAAAAAAAATATGTCACAACTTACTATTGACAGCTCTGTTCACTCTTTCGGTCATGCCCGCACTGGCATCTTTTAACTCCTCTTGCAATTGTTGTGACTAAAAACAAAGAAGTAAAGTAAAATTCCATACAACTTTTAAACGCCTAAGGATATCTAATAATTATCTAATTTTGTTTATTTTGTTTATAAATTTACGCACGCTAACCTGAAAAACAGCTCAAATGTTTTGATAGCATTATTTTCAATAATGTATCAACAAGTTTCTCATAACATGTAGGTAGGTAGTGTTTCTAACGTACATTCCAATCGCTTCACAAACAAAAGAGTTATAATCTACTGTTACAGTAAGTTAAGTCAAGCAGTCAGTTAATAATACACAATTACAGATGATAAAAACATGCTACACGAGCAACTATGTAGAGATTAACATAAACAACATATACAAAAAATTATGTAGAGATTCCTAGCAACTTACATAACGTAATGTATGGTAGAGAAGTAAATCTGCGTCTCCTTGCATCGAAGGTTTGTTATGAGTGTATTTTAGTCCAGGAAATAGTGTCTCGTTTTCTTCTGTATATTTTAACATCAATTGTTCCACCTAAAACGCAATATTATAATGATGAAAGATTTTATATGAGCTTTACTGGTGACTTCAGGGAAACATTATAGTAGAAGCCTGAAAACTGGTCAGTTATTTCATAACAGTGAATTCTCCAGTATTAATCACTCTCTAGAGGGACCTTGTGGCGATTTATTATGTCATAAATTGCTAGTCCCCCACTTCTTTATATCAGGTTCGAGGCTCAGAAAGAGCACACTAGCTTGAGTCTAGAGTGTTGTCTTAATGGTAGAGATAGAGTAGGTATATGTATGACATTATATCATAAATAATCTATCAAGTAATAGACCCAGAATCGCAATCTTATATCCGTAATGATAAATCTCTTAATCGCGCTCCAAGTAATTAAATGATATATTACCTTTTGCCACAGCGCGTCTAATGCCACAGATTTATCATTCTGCCACTCGTATTCCATCATCATGCCTTTAATTTTGTCACGGTAGTCCTTCATAAGGCATCTAGTGTTCTTCATTGCCTCGCAAGGAGCCTTCACGCCGCATTCGAAATAATGTGTTAGTCCGTCTGAAAATTATATAATTTTATTAATGAAAACTATAACTAGAATACGCTCTCTACTCCATTTGTTAAAGAATCATATAATATACTAGCTGTCCAGGCAAAGGTTGTTTTGCCTTAAAATAAAATAAAAAAAATTAGGGGTGGACTACCCCTAACATTTAGGGGGATGAAAAATAGATGTTGGCCGATTCTCAGACCTACTCAATACGCTCACAAAATTTCATGAGAATCGGTCAAGCCGTTTCGGATGAGTATGGGAACGAAAACTGTGACACGAGAATTTTATATATAAGATATAGCTAAAATGTGTAATACTAAAAAGTATTAAATAAAACAATCACTTATTAATTATCACACACGGCTTCTCCTGGAATAGTATCCAGATATATCCATATCCTGGATAGTATCCATCGTGCTGAATTCTCTACGACAAGTTAACTGAAGTGACTTCTCCTATGACAGTGGTGCCCCGCCAACGTATACCATTACCGCAGGCATGTACATTGTACACAATTTCATTGTCAACGATAAATAAGTTGTTGGCACGTAGATGTCATTACAGATTATATTTCCAAATAAACTTACCTATTTTAACAGTTGCATTCTCGACATTTTTAAGGGATACGTTGACTAAATCAATTCGCTCTGCCATCGCCGAGTGCAATCCTTTCAACGATTTCATACAGAAGTTCTCCATTATTTCTTCTACTAACTGCAATTAATATCAAAAATATATCAGAAAGTTATCTTTTTTATTATTTTAGTTAACTTTAAAAAGTTGTACGCAAAATATTTTTGAAAGGAACCTGGTGACAAATACCTACCAGTTTTATTTCTACCCTTCATTTAAAATTATGAAATACCGTCAAGGCAACCCCAGCCATCCTTAGTGGTTGGACGATAGAGTACAGTGGAACTCCTACCGACCAGAAATTAAACACAATATGCATCCCTAAAATTTTAAATAGTATTACGTATTCCTAAAATCCCGAACAATCGATAATTTAATAAGAATGTTAACATCATGTAATTTGAATAATTTATGGACTATGCACACATATCATCTCAGGAACAATGATGTTGAACTTTAAATTTTCTTTTTATTTTATTTTCTCTGTTTATTTTGTTTCATTTTTATATAGTCAACAATTGTGTTTTTATGAAATTAATCTAAAAAATCTTAATTAGTCTGATATGTAAAACTCACTGATCAGTAATAGTAAATAATTATTTGGCAATTCTATTGTGGACTCCAACGATACAGGTTCGCCTAGTGCGGGGTTCAATGTATAATAAATTTTGTAATATTTGTACGTTATTTGAATAAAGAATAAAAAATACCTTCCAAAACTTCCCGATCCGTTGCATCTACGGGGTACATATAGAAATGTGCTAATACACCCATAAAAATATTTAAAGCTTTGTTTTAGATCAACCTCTAATGCTCCGTGTACAAGGTGGAGACATAACATTTTTTTGTAAATTTATCACCTTAATTTTACGTAGGATAGGAATCAATTACAATACCAAGAAATAAGTGGGTACCTTATTATAATAAGCACATGCATCTCTTGCGGTCAAATAATTATTAATGATAGAGTCGCCCAAATCCCTAAAGCAAGTCTCGATCTCACAAACGTCTTTCATCAACACTGGTGGAGGTAAAATCTCACAAGAAGTTTGCTCCGGTTCTTTGTTTTCTAAAAAAGAACACTGTTTTATACACTTATTCATTAATACCCGTAATTAATACGGGTCATTACACGTCCCTGCTTTACATCAGTAAAGTTGACTTAAGTATTTCAAATGTTAGGTATTCATATTCAGCCCAGGTTATCAATTGGTAACTTAAGTTTTCGATAGGTCCAAGAAAATTCTTGGACCTATCGAAAACTAAGTTACCAATAATAATAAAATTATTATTATCGGTTAATAATTTTTAGTCTATCCATTGCAAATGTTCTTTATCCATAGGTACCTATTAACTATTGGTAAACCTATTAGTAGAGAAAAGCAATTTTTCCCATAAATATACAATAACTAATCCTAATCAAATTTAACCGTAAAACTATGTACCTATATTAGTTTTCAGTGATAATATTAAATATTTATTGTAACACTACATTTTTTTACTGAGATCCAGATACAGAATTAATTGTACTTTTTTACATTTATATGTAGGTATTATGGCATAATCCTTAAAACTGAAAGGCAATAAATTCAGTCCGGTGTTGGTGTAATTAGAAAAAACAACATACCTTCTTCTTTTACGTCAGTTATCTTCTCTTTAGATGCTTTCTCTTTTGGTCCAGTCTCCTTAGGCTCTTTTTCTTTAGGTCCTTCAGAAATGGCTAAAAATTTACAATCGGAATATAATTATAAAGAAATATATGTTGTTTAATTTTCTTTGATTTAGTATTTTTTACTTTAAATATATTCCTCGAATTAGGTTAAGACTATTTTATTTATATGGACTTGTAATATTGTATACTATAACATAAACCTTCAACAAATGGATTAGTCTATATAATAAAATCAATTTAAAAAACTAACATGATATAGACTGGCCATTATTGGAGCACTTCTTGGGCTTCGGGTCAGTGAAATACTTCAAAAATAACTGTAAATAACAGTTTCTAAAATTATCGAAACTCTTCGTCACAAACTCTCCGTATGTCATGTTCTCCTGGTACGCAAGAGCTATGAAATCGTCGAACCATGGTGCGTACAGTGATAACCAATCACGAACTTCTGGATTTTGTCTAGAAATTAAAACCACTTAAAAATAATCATTGTAACAATTGAAAATTAGTTTAAAGAACTGATAAGTAAGAATTTAAAAGACAAAAGGATCTCACATGGATACCAAATGTAAGCAAACCTTTTTTTACTTGGAGAAAACCTTCGGGATCGTCCGTCCCGGGGAGGGAAACGCTACTGTGAGATTCCTTACTCTTTAAAAACTCCAAGATGTCCCTCATCCAAGACCATATATCAGAGTCGCGGGATCGAATGGCAGTCCGTCGCGAATACGATGTCGGTGGCCAACTTTATAGCAGGCCTCATCTCTACGGGTTCTCAAATATAAACCAAACCAGTAAAGCTAGGCGATATTCTTAAATTTCACAGAGACAATAGTTCCGGACGCAGGTAATTGCAATGATGAACAACAGATTTTTGTTTATAAATTTTGACATTCATCCGTTGCTCAGTATTCCAATGGTATTGTGAAGCAATTAAGGCTATGAATATACAAATAGCTAAATGTAACTTATACTTTGTCATGTTATGTTATGTTAGTCAGGAAATGACGGTAAAAAAAGGAGGAAACAAATTACGGCTGACTAATTATTGGTATGGTTTAGATCTAACGTTTTGAACACCATTGCCGTACTAATTGAATGTAAGAACCACTAAATACAGTTTTCTCTAAAGGAATATCATATTAGAATTCATACAAATTGTTTTCTATTTTTATGACACAAAAATGCTTTATAATTGATAAGTACCTATGTTCTACTACTAATTCGCTTTATCACTTACTTCGCGTAAACAGCAAAACCTCCAGCCAGGAACATTACGGTCAGCGTACCCCAGAGCAGGCGGTCGTCCTTGGGCGGTGGAGGGGGCGGGGGTAATGGTGGTGGACAGGTTTCACGTTCAGTTGGGTCTTTGTACTTGAGGGTAGGTGGGGAGCGTGTAATTGTAAGTATTTGTATGTGAACTGGGTAATGGTGGTACTGTAATAAATATAGTTAAACCACGTGTAAGATATTATTTCATTAAAGAATATTATTCAAGTGTCGTGGCCAATTTTTTTTACCACCCAGTCTTATAAAGTATTGAGTACAGGAAGACACCATAAAACTTGGTGATAATGTATATATATATACTTACCACAGATAAGATATTCCGTTAGGATAAAGGAGTGAAGTTAGATATATTATTATTTATTTTCTTATTACCAACCACAATGAGAAGTCAGGTTAGGGTTTGTTAGAGTTTCGTCATAGATGTAAATTCTATTCTATTTATATAAGTTTATAATCAGATGGGCCGTTTGCTTGATTGTCAACATTGTGGTATAAAAACAGACTTAACTGTTTTGCTTTCTACTCCATAAAATATGTAATCGATACAATAACATTCATATTGATCTGTCTGTAAGTCTGGACTACTTACCAATAGAACCCTACTATTGTAAACGTAGGGCGTTATTCGGAACATTTTTGCTAAAATTTCTTTTATGTGAAGAGACTCGTTCCAAGCTTCATTCTCGCGACATCTGTGTATTTTTTTATTGACAAAATAGCAGAAGTCGGCCAGTAATCGTTGCGGTAATATTTTGTCTTTGGTAAGAAACTAAACAATGTTCATTAAGGCGTTTTTGCCATCTCAAAGTCATTTAAACTGTGATTTCAGTGTGAGTTGGCATTATATAATATTTTAGTTATTGTAAATTAGTGTCTAAAGTTACAACACATCCATATACGACAGCATTTGATTAATTCGGTTGGATCATATAAATGACCATTTAAAGTGCTGAAAGATTGAAATAACTACTCTACCACAGATAACAGAATATTACATACTAGTAATAACGTAAGCAGGTAAATAAAATTACATGGTAATAATTTAAATCTATATATATATGTATGTATTATCAATTTGTACACAGTCTGAAATAAAACTATTATGTAAAAATCATTCTTTTAATTTAAATTACATACAATATTTTTATATTTACATAAGTTACTAAAATTAAAGAACCTCGGAGTTTTTAACTGGCACCGTAATTTAATTATTCAGGTTGATAAATGCGAAATAGCTCAGCAGAAAAAAAATCATTCATAATTTATACATTTCTACTAGTTAACAATTCTATACAGTTGATTTTATTTCTACTGTATTATTTTTAATTCAACGTTAAGTGACTTCTTAATTTTAATATAAAGAATATTCTAGAGGTGATCACATCTATCCCTTTACAATCAATAACAGCCATTATACCATAAAGTACATTTTTGAACAAACATTGTCAAATCACTGTAATTTGAACATTGGTGTATAGTCGATAACAAAAATAAATAAATAACCCTATTTATTGAAACTATTTTATAATATAAAAATACTCAGGACAACAAATGAGTAACAGAAATTTTGAATTACATTTGACTCCTACATATTTCGTTTCACAATCTACATTGTAGTAAAATTATATAGAAAAAAAATCAATGAAAATTTCTCATAGATATATTAATAATATTAATATTAAAAATAGTTTGAATAAATCTAGACAAATCTAATAAAAAGCCTTCAAGGTATTTTAAAGAAAAATACAATGGAAACCACTTATTATGTTATTTAATGAAATAAAAGAAAAATATTGAACAACGTATCAAGTGCGATGGCAATATATTGTCCAGCAATAAATTCAAACAACAACGCATCTTAACACACAATAATGATTCAATTCTATTGAATGCTATTTCATTCGTTTCTATATAATGTGAAAGAGACGCGAATAGGTGCGGGTAACAAAGCGTCGAATGTTTTGATACATTGTATGTAAGCAGACATGTTTTATATGAATGCTACATTCGCAGATTTCAGTTACGGATCAGCGATCACTTGCGACTTCAGACTGGTGACCATCTGAAATAAACACATACTTTAAATAAAATAATAATTACGAACTAAAATGTGTAAGTGTGTAGTGTATGGTGGCATCAATATGATTCAACAATTAAACATTAACATTATATCTGACTTCTAAAGACATTCACACAGTAATTGTGAGTAATCTAGAAATCAGTAATTAATGTTTATTTAATCCAGAATTAATTGAAATACATTGTTAATATTATTAATTATAAATAATCTAATTATTTGGATAAAGGTCGTGTCTAGGAAATCACCTTCGCAAATAATACATTATTTCAAAATAAATTTGATTTCTAAAAAAAGTTATAGTGGTTAACATTAACAGATAAACATGTTGTCGCCGATTTTTTTTTGAAATGTTTAAAGAATTCCTTCATACAACCGATCCAAAAGAAATACTACTAATAATAGTAGACTAGAGGCGGTGGGCGAGCATCGAACGTCGAGCTATAGGTAGAGGAGGACGACGGCATGCGCGAGCGGCGGCGGCTAATTTTTTTAGAACTTTCAAAACAATTTCATCATACAACTGACCCTAAAAAATTAAGACTATGTAATGTGTAATAAATCTAAAGATAGTGGAGCTCACCGCGTAGTGGACTAGCGGAGGGCGAGCATCGAACGTTGAACTACAGGTAGAGTAGGCCGGCGACGGAGGCGTGCGCCATGACGGCCTCGGCCGCCTGCCGCACCTCGAGGTGGGTGCGCGCGGCGGAGGCCCACGCCCGGGCGGCGGCGCGCGGCCCGCCCTGCAGCAGGTTCACGTACCGCAGCGCCGCGCCCAGGTTACCCTGGTCCATGTGATACCTGTACATATACAAGTACCAATACTCGATTACTACCTGTGCTTCATTCAAATCTATTTAATGTACTTTGTAGAGTCAAGACAGAACTCCAGAGTTTCAGCAAGTATAGTAGGAAGGTTGGTGATGACACAATGATATGATCGGCACGAGACTCGGAAGACATTCGGGAGTATCCGCAACAGGATGAGTGCTATTGTTGTGGTATCCACAGAAAGGATAAAAATTAACAATGAACAGAGTAGAGATTAAATCATTTGTAGGGAGTCAACAGAAATTCGTGCTTCCGCACCACACACTACCATCAACATTTCAATTCTAGGAGACTGTGGGAGTCCATTAATTGCATAGGAGGCAGAACAGGTATGAGAGAACGTCAAGGCGGAACAAGATAAGAAAGACATTAAGGGAGTATCTGAAAGTGTTTATTGCTGTGGTGTACTCGCAAAGCACGTACCATATTCAATTATAGAAGGCTGCGGGAATTCAGACTATATATATAAAAAAATAATATTATTACCTCGCCCTTTGAATGATGTCAAATGTATCTAAACTGGTGAAATCTGTGGGCTGGTTCTCCAACTCATCTTTCGGTATTTCAGCGAACTAGAACAATTTCTTTTGATTAATTTTTAATGATACGAATGTGGTTTGATATATCGGTAACATTTTGAGCAAATAAATTTTATTTCTCAGCGCTTTTTCAATTTTAATAACCCAAGAATTGTAGCACCGGGCCAACTAGTCCCAAATCTAGCAAAGCTTGTATTATGGATGAAAATACTAAAAATAAAATTTAAACATTGTAAATACACACATAATATACATAGTAAGCAACAAGACCAATACAATCATATTTACAAAATATTTACATATCATAAAATAAATGTATGTAAATATGATTATATATTTACATATAATCATATTTACATACATTTGTTTTTGTACATTGTACATATCATAGGAGAATCGAACATCAAAATCAGAGGGAAGATGATGTGCTAAACCGCTAAATCACCAAGGCACTAGGTACCAGCTGATATAAAAACATACCTTATGGAACAACAGTTTGGACTGTAACCACGAAAGGAAGTACACAGGTAAGCTTGCACCCTCCCGTCCAATAAGGGCAACTTTAACTGCGGCCTTTTCCATCTGTAATACCATAAATAAAATACATTTCATTGATTTAATAAACCTAGCGGTTGACTGCCATGACTTGCACACAAAATGGGGTGAGATCAAATCTGACCGACACCAAATAAATAATTTTATGTATTAATTTATATATCTGACTCATATATGGTGAAGATGCATTTACCATAACAAATAATAACAATGCAAATTAATGTGTATTGTTTGACTGAAATTTCATTGCAGGGGACTTAAATGTCATGCCTTCTTTGTACCATATCCTGTAATTTATATCCGTATATAATAGAACAAAAATATATAATTAAGTATATACTTCAAATCGCAACGCAGCTTACAAAGCAATCTGCTTGGCAGCAGAAAACGAAAACTTATAAAATAAATTACAACTTTATACATTTTAGTTACTTTATTATAAAGAACCGTACTAACCTTGTCGAACCTTTCACGAAGTGCCTTCTCCGTAGCGATTCCGTTCTCCCTCACCTCTTGTGGTATACCCTTAAGTACAGTCTGCACCAACTTATCATCTTTACCTGCGATAATAATTACGTATATAAAAATAGTCACTCTACTCTAGAGACTAGAAGTTTAAAAAATATTATTATTATATATTTTTTATGAAAATTACCGCGTGGTCACGTGATCCATTTAATAGACTGTAGGATTTTTATCAAATTTCGACTATTTATAGACGAATGATTAATCCATCAGCTTTTTTACTACTCTTAATCGAATTTAATCTTTACAGAAATTTATATAAGAAACAATATCTGATAAGTATTAAAACCATTATGTAATTTCAATCCAATGTATAATCGAGTTCTCGATTTAAAACCATTCAATTCGCCTTACTATTGCAACTCACCCGCTTTCTCTAGCGCCTTCAACTCATTGTCTATGGTCGTATCGGGCTGCAGGCGACGAGTGGCAGCAAGTAGTGCTTCGCCCGCCGCCCATAATGATTGCGATCGCCGCGCCTCCGCTTCCGCTTTTGCACGCTCTATTACGCAAAAACAACACTATTACCCAATAAACTCATTCAGACTTCAGATACGTTAACTGTTATTTAAGGATTTCATCTGTGGGAAAAAGTTACAATAATGCACCATTCCATAAATATCCAATAAAAAAACGGAGTATTAATCCGACGTTAGATGTAAGATCAATACTCGATACTTTTTCGGTGTTTATAATTAGTAAATGTACCAATAACAAATATATACTAAAAATGCCCCACTATATTTAAGCTTCAAGCAAAAGCAAAACAAACTCACGCTTGAGTGTCTGTTCAATGGCCTTCAACTTGCCGGCCATTGAGGCCAGTTCTCTCTTGAACACGACACGTTCCTTCTCCACTTGTTCGGACACGGTGCGGTTGAATTTGCCCAGGACCTGTTTTAATAATATCAAATATGTACTCAAAACCATAATCCTACATATCCCTTCTACCACGAAGAGTTTACATTTTGTTGATATTACTTTTATGGAGAATCCTATCTCAATTAAGTTTCTACTAAAATACAAAAGATTTAATAGTAAAAAATTATTGTTATGTAATTAATGATATATACATATATGAAAAGAAGGATTAATAGTTTGCGTATATATTTACTTTTCTGATTCTAATATAATGTTCACAACTCCATTGTAACTAAGTTTAAAATTTCAAAAGAAAATGTAAGTATAATTTTGTAAGAAATTAAGCTACATAGTTAGTGACATTTACTATACAAATCATTGTACCTCTTTTTCTTTCTTCGCGAGCTTATCCTGTAAAACTTCCTGTTGGATTTCAAATTGTTTTTTGAGCTGCTCCTTTAATTTTCTATTAGCATCCGCTTGGATCTCCAGGCTCTGCAAAAGATAGAATTCATAAATATTAATTCGCAATCAAATCAATTTGAACTTTTAAGTTCTTATGTTGAACGCGCCGTGAAAGAACATTTGTAACAATATAAAAGTATATTTATAATATATTAATTACCCTTTTCTGAAATTCCTTTTCATTTTGTAATCTTTCTTGTCTAATGATATCGTCGACTTTTGCTTCAATTATCTCTTTCTGATCGTGACCTAAAATAACATATCGCTATTAAATAAATTCGTAATTTTGTCATAGTTTTTATTAATACAATAAAATAATCGTCTTACATTCAATGGCTCTGCTGATTTTAAGGTCTCTTACTGTTTGGATTTCAGCTAACTCATTTTGGAGAAATTGAATCTGTAAAAAGCAAATAATAGATGTGTGAATATAAATACATTTGATATACATAAATAATAAATCAATCCATTAATACAAAACATAAATTAATATAACCATTATGAATGATTATAGAATTGTGCATATGTATACGAGCAGGATACCAGAGAAGGATGACAAGATGGTCAAAGAGAGTGCAGTTCACCCAACGAAGCGAATTCATCAGGAATTAACCACGATGGTTTCCAGGTGAAACCGCGTGGATAATAAATAATCCACGGCCTCGGTGATCTAGCTGTATATCATACCACCTCACTTCCGATGGTCGTGGGTTCGTTTCCTCGCAAAGTATAAACATTTGTGTTCATGAGTATTATTGTTTGTATCAGTCTGGATAGTTTCTACATATAATATGTATATATTTACAAAAAAAATGTATCTAAGTATTTAAATCCGTTATCAATTACCCATAACACAAACTTTGCTTAGCTTGGGTCTAGGTACCGCGTGAATTGTCAAGGGAAAAAAATGTACCTGCTTCAGTGTGTAGAGAAGCAACAGATCCGTGTCACCCTTGAGTTCTAGCTTGCGTGCCGTGATATCGATGCCGGGGAAGAGTAACTGCAACTCTTCTTTGTAGGTGTGCCGAGCTGCCTCCACCTGCGAACATCTTACTTTATTATCTAGCAACCCATCCAGGCTTTGTATGGGTAAAATTGAAATTAGAACTGAACGATATCGCTGCCGCTCTCTGTTCACTTATATTTTTTAAACTAGCTGTTCCCACGACTTCGTCCGCGTGGAATTTAAGTCTATTTTTATAAAATAAAAGTTGCCTAAGTTACTACTCCTTATTACATCAGCTACTTCCCAAAAAAAGTCACGTCAAAATTGGTCCAGCCATTTCAGAGATTAGCCGGAACAAACAGAGAGACATATAGACAAACAGACAGACAGACAAAAATTGTAAAAAAATGTTATTTTGGTATATGTACCGTATTTATATGCATGTAGTAAAAAATGGTTATTTCAATATTACATACTCCAATTTTATTTATATGTATAGATTAATATAGCTATGCCTTTTATTTCTCTAGTCCATTCTTGTGCCAACTACCATTTTCTATATTCTCTCCTCTACCCAAATGTAGTATGGAAGAGATTGCTTATGCGATAAGAGCGCCTTTTGTACCTTATTACTTCAATTGATTTATATTCGTTATAATTTACTTCTGGCACAATAAAGAGTTATAAAATTTTTAAAACTTATTTTTTATTTATGTGCCGCCAAAATTTAAATCATTAAAAGCGTGCCACAACAAAGATTGAGAATCGCTACACTAGGCTATATAACCCATCTATATAGTACCAACCTTATTCCAGTACTTGTCGCTGAGGACTGACTTCTCTCGCTCCTGCTTGTACGCGGTCTCCGCTTGAGTGAGATCTGCGCGGAACTGCTTGATATACCTCAGTGTGGCAGTTACGCTCTCTGGAGGCGCTTGGACACCAGCTTTGATCAGGCGGTCGAGGGTATCTGAAATATAAAAATAAATAATTAAGTCATGGCACGTAGTAGTCTCTAAAATCCACTAAAATAGTATTAACCAGCTGGTATTAAAGGTTTTGTAGCTCTTAAACAATATTGTCATGGTAAATATCTTTTCTTTTATACTCACAGCGCCATCTAGTGGACGACACCGAGAAACGGAGTAAAGAGCCAACTATGCAAGGTTTTATAACCAGTAGTGATAATGCCCTAGAAAACCTTGAATGGCGATGTTGACTGTAATGGCTTACGTACCTATTGCACATTTAGCCTTCGCTGACGCGTCCTTCGCTTTCTTGAAGACTGTGTCCCTCTCACCCTGCGCGCTTTGGAGTGTGGTATAATGTTTCTTATCTAAATCTTCCAATGAGGACTCGACGATCTGAAATTTGGATAAATTGAAATTTAAAAATTATTCTGACTACATTAGGAAAGCAGACTTTACTAAGTATATATGTTAACTTTATCTGACCTCTTTTTGTTGATAAGCAACCTTTTGTAAGGTGAGGGTTTTAGGGTTGAGATTACAGGCAAGTCATGACTTACAATACTTGCAAATCATGCAAGTATTATTTAGTAACTATAATACTATTCATGTATTTAGGCAACGGTTATTATTTTCCAACAGATGTATCATGTGCTTGTATGCATCAAGAAAGATAAAAGAAGTAAACATAAGATTCATTATAGTACATTATACATTGATAGTTTTAATTTACAATTTTCATTTATAAATTCCATATTTTACGTAAATTTTATTAATAAATGTTAGTAACTTATAAAACATTAGTAATTATTTTGTAACTAGTAGCCCTGTCATTATTTGTGTGCACATATTAACTTTATAGGTTTTATATGTAACATTAACATAATGTATTATATATTCTTTTATCACTCTAGAATAATGTAATCTTAAAAACAGTGAAAAAATTCAAATTGGTGCAATAGTTCCATAGTTTAATTTCCTGAAAACAATATCCACTCTCTCTATAATATTAGTATCGGTTTTATGGTTTTACGAACTGGTCATATGGTTGATTTTGCAACGTCTTCATGAAATATATATAAACAATACTATGGATATACTTTAATGTTTACCTTAAATAATGCCTTATTGTATTCAGCACAGAACTTAGTAGCTTTCTTGTAATTATCAATAGCCGTTTTGGTATTTTCGTGCATATCGTGCTCTAATTCCACCATATCTTTTGTGATGTTAATAGGTGGTGGTGACTGGGGATCACTCTTCTCCGTTTGGATTAAAGTGGCTGAAACAGATTTGTAATTAAAAATTAACTAGCAATAATATTATCATTAATTCCTATTAACGTTGTACAATGATAACTTATACAAGTATGAATATATGTTGGGATGTTTGTTATTAAATCAATGGTCATTATTTAAGGCTAAACTGTTTCGAATTAAATTTGGTACAAAAACAGGTTACATTCTAGATTAATACATTGCGAAAGGGTACCACTTGTCCTGAAGTGGATGGTCTGCTTATTTGTCCTACCAATTACATAAAAACAAACTTTCAAACATTCTAAATTCTATATATAATTTTAGAATTAAAACAGGTCACGTTTTTATATTTTCTTTTCACTCTACGCCCAAATTACAGTTCGGAATTAGTTCTATTTGTGTATACTGGTATAGCAAACAGAGCCTATTGGGTAATTACTTAGAAAACTGTGATAACAGATTCATAGTTAACATCCATACCACATCAAACCCGGTTTGATGACTAGCACTTATTATTATACAAAATCATAAAAAATTATCACATAACTAACCTTTGGTTTCTACATCAGGTGTGTCCAATTTCTTCTCTTCATGATACAATGGTTCAAATGACGGTGGCGGCACTGTTAGGCACAACACACAAATTAAGTCAAGCAGTGTGTGATGGTTAAATTCAAAACTGTTAAATAAATTATGCTGCTATTTAATGATTTAAAATTAATATAATAGCATTAATATGCCTGTTTCTTTCGTTTATAACCAATTTACTAAAAAAAGAACTTAATTTTAAATTAAAGAGCATGAGAGAAAAACAAATCCTTTCCTAAAATAGATTTATTAGATGTTTGATATTTTTATGAATAGCAATTTACTAAAAAAAGAACTTAATTTTAAATTAAAGAGCATGAGAGAAAAACAAATCCTTTCCTAAAATAGATTTATTAGATGTTTGATATTTTTATGAATAGAGGGATAATATAATATTTATTCACATTTATTATATTTAAAGAAGGACTCCAATGTCGACATCGCATTTCGATGCGAAAAGCCGTGTATATAACAATGTATTATACATAATTATAACACAATGATTCCCATTACCCCTCACATTTTTTGTTTTTTTATAGCGAGATAAAAACTTCAAAAAATAATAATTAATTTATAGTTCTAATAATACATAAACTAAGTGACTTTTAATATGAAAGATATGAAATAATATGTAATGAATTTATTCATATCATAGGGATTGTATGTAATAAACGTAATGTTAATGCAAAGAATTCACTTTTTGCAAATATCAGTTAACATACAAGTAAATAGGTTACGAAATTATGAATTTTTAGTGCATTGTTTGTACAGTTCAACAAAATCAGATGTTAATGTTCAAAACTTAATGAAAATATATACAATTTAATAATATATGTGCATGTACAGTGAAAATAGGATCTATTGTAAAACAAAGTCTGAATATTATAAGAAGTTCTCCATAGGTGTGTCAATCTCGAAAGGCACTGGAGACAGACTATCGTTTGCAAACTCCACTATCACAAATTAAAACTTTTTTAGCTTAAAATCTGTAAACTAACATAGTAGCCACTTACATTGATAATCCTTCTTGGTGAATTCTTGTAATGCATCTTTTTCTATGTTTTGTTTTGTTCTTTGCTTGACATCTAGTGGTGCAACACCCTCCTAAAACAGAAGTATGATGCTTATGTAAATATGTTTTAATGGTGATCATTATCATTTCACATTATTTAGAGTCATATGACTTCAAATCCTTATCAAATATATAATAATATATATTATTTCACAGTCAGTTCCATCCACATTTTCTTCTGTTAATACTGACTTTTATTAGCAAGTTCATTTTTAGTGACAAAATATTACTATGCATTATAGTAATATTTTGTCACTAAAAATTAATTTGAAATGAATGAAACATGAAAAATAGTGAAAATTGTGTTGAAATTTAAAGAAGCACCAGTAGTTAATGCAACTTCATCTCCCTTTTTTGAGATAATGCATAGCCTGTAACCATTCTCATGATACTAACTATACCTAATATATCTTCATTTTACATTTAATTAAGTTTCTTTCAGAAATTTTATTGTAAACAGTAGTAAACATATAGACTGGCACGTTATAAAATTAGTATCAATTAATACGTAAAAAGTGAGAGTATACAGACAAACACTGTCATTTTTGCCATACACCATGTTCAGTGTTCAATTAGAGTCTTGTGGAAATTCCTGCATCAAAGTTTAGTAACCAATTTTATACTATACCTTTCCAAATATAAAACCACCAAGTGATGAGGATATCTTATTGAATTGATTTACACTGAACTTCCAGTATGTTGTATTCTCCTGATATACGAGAGCCACAAAGTCGTTAGCCCAAGGGACATTAGATTCAAGCCAGTTTCTAGCTTCAGGAGTGCTTCTGTTAACAAAATATAAATTTATACAATCATATCCATCACTCTAATTATAATTGGTACATTTCTTACAAACAAAATAAAGCAGCAAGCTTATGGTTGTAAAAGAAACTATCTTAGCTAGCAATCTACTATATCAGGTAGACCTCCATGCTATTCCCCCTAGAAATTAATTTGTAGTGAATCACAGTTTGCTAAGCACACTTCATCCTCACCCTATTGAGTTCTCCACTGGTTACCCAACTGTGTCTACTGTTAGTACAGGATGTGCTATTTAATCATCCATTATATAATAATATACACTATTGAAATTTTGCAAAGTTATAATTAAATTACAGTCACACTAATAATATTTAGATTTATTACATAAAAAGAAAATTAAATTAAATTATTTCAATAAGTGGATTATTTGTAGCCACTGGATTCTGGATTATTGCCCACCTTCTGATGTGACAACAAAAGATAATAGGATACTTAACACTTTTTAGGAATACCATAGTCATTTAAAGCTGTCCTACATTTACATGGAACTAAAGTCTGTTAAGACTGAACTTGCATTTTGCTCTTTCTACATAGTGCATGCAAACCAGTCTGATCAGTTGACATGAGTATTTCAACTCAGTAGCTAAAGTATTAAATTCTAACAGTAATAATAGAATTGTCTAACTTGGCATATACAACAGCAGCTCCAGTGAGCACTGTAGCGCCGATTGTACCCCAGAGGAGCTTTCTCGACTTTGGCGGTGCTTTTGGTGTGGGACATGAGTTGTCGGACTGTACGTGGCGGCGCGGCGCCCGCATCACAACCAGAGCTGCGCAGGACCCATCGCCAACTTGTTTTCTCACCTGGAATATCAATACAACTTTTTAATTATTTATATTTATTAATGCACCTTAAAAAGCAAAGGTTTATGTGTTCTGAAGATAATGGTATATTTATTTAAGATACAATAATAATAAATTCAAGAGTTTTTTATTATTGCACCTTAAATAAAAAACCAAAAACAGAATGTGGTAGATGGTGCATGAACATAAATAATAATACCTACTAATATATCGAATATATATACAAATAATATAAACATACACATTATTGATAATACATATAAAATTAATATACAATAATATAACATTAAAGAAATGTTAATACACTTAATACAATACAATACTTTACTATACACAGTAATACAATATGTTATTAAGAAACAATTTGGAAGAGATTTTTTTTCTTAATCTATATAATTTGTATATACAGATTCTTATCTTAAATTTAGAAGGATTTAGGTCACAAATACACATGTATTTGTCATGTAAATTATTCCTTTTAAATGGTTGGACCATTGGTAATGAAATATTATGTGTAAATATTAAAGCCATTAAAATCCACTTGGATGGTTTGAAAATTGAAACCAGTAAGTGGCATTGCTTAATCGAGCAATATTAAGGATTACATTATTCATGTACCTATTCAGTTTCTGGATATCTCAACTAAGTTAGTAACCATAACTTTAACTCTTTATCTATATACATATATATATAGCAAAAATGTAACTGATTGCTGTCTACACATGTCTATTTCTTTGTGTAGTTATGTGTGCTATATCTCTAATCAAACAAATCAAAAACCAATGCAATGTCAACCAATTGGAGTGTACTTCATAATAATGTATTATTGGTATATGTAAGGTTATCACCTTCACTTAAAATTTTGTAATTGTTGAATGACAATTGGCTAACAAAATAAATTATAGACACACAAAGTCGCTGGTTCAGCACGAAATATGAAAATAAGCGTTTCTACATTAATACAAGTTTATTTATCATCTTAACTTAATGAAGAATAATATTTGTAATATAAAATTTGTTAAAACATATACCAAAATTATTTGTTTCATGTTTAAATTACGATAATAATTTTTATCGAAGATTATTTCATCATCAGAATGATGGTGATGATAGGTTATTTATGAGAATGACGTACAGCAATTGTTATGTAAGGGACAACAATAATACAAAGTTTATTGTTTATATTTATTTAGTACTAAATTAAAGGTATTTATTGATAATATAACAACGAATTTTAATTGAATAGTACCCGTATATTCCTAGAAATATACAATTTCATACCGTTTTACTAGTAACATTAATTTATTAAATTTTATTAGTTCAAGTCATGTGTAAAGTGCAAACTGGAGTATGGACAAGAAAATTACAGAAATACATACCAAAACAAGATTGGCGTGTGTTAAATGGTTGGTAAATTTGTACATTTTCGGCAATCGGCACTGAATCTCTTTCCACTTGGGATGGGTTATCCAAGGGTTGTCAAAAATGAGAGACTACAGATTACAGAAGTTTGACAAACCAATAGAATGTACTATAGATAACTAATTATGGGTCACAGATGAACTCTGCCGAGTGCAAGACAAAAAGATGTAATCTTCATCTAGTCAATATAATCAACGGTAGACAGAGTTCATAAATCTAAAAATAGTAATATTTTATTCTATATATACATTACCGAGTTCCCCAGTCCACCAGTGAATACCACATTATTTTCGTAGCATAAGTCAAAAAAATATTTTGTGTTTATTAGTATGTAAGCGACTACACTTAAATTAAGTTTAATATTCTATTCCTATTACTTGGTAAAAGACGTTCATATTATAAATTGGTCATTATATATTTTATAACGTCCATGACATTATTTTTCAAACCCTATAATCTTTGTATATCGCCTTATTACGTCTCATATATAACAGAAAATTAAAGAAAGCTAAGGTTTTAGGCCTTATATAGTACAAATAAGCAAAACTAAATGAATAATGGTAACACCGTAAAAAATTGACTGAACATCCAGCGCCGTGAAAATTGCAGTGCAAGAAAAAAACTAATTAATTACTTAGATTTTTGTTTTTATAATGTTTCGTTCTGTATTTTGTGGTAAATATTCCAAATTTTTTTACTAAAACATTCTTAAAACGTATATTTTCAGTGACAACGAAAATGATTATGTAGTAGTTTCGATTATATTGCGTAATGGTGTATTTGCGACGACTTGAATTTGAGGTTACCAATTTTTTTCTTTTTCAGTTGTACGGAATATAAGACCTCTCACGATTCCCTATTGCAATACTGCCAGTATCATTGCAAACAATTTTAGAAATTTATGTACCACCAACAAAATTAACCTAACACCACAATTGCCGAGTTTGAACATTACCAGTGGACATCTGTCATCTAACCAGCATGTATTGACAATATGTAGCAATATGATAATTCCAACAAGATCTGTTACAAAGTTTAGTTTGAAAAAGGGCAAAAGGAAAACAGTTAAGGCTGTAATACACAGATTCTTCCGTTTACACTGGGGTGGTTGGATAAGAACTAAAGCCGGCAGAAAGAAGAGACTGTGGAAAAAATCTAGTGCACAAAAGCGGCGTCTCCGTCAGCATGTTCTCTGTAATGCCACACAGAATACACTACTAGATAAAATGGTTACTAAATTTTGGAAACGTCCCAAATATTATGTTGATGACCCCTACACACCATATCATTCAAGAGAAGAATATGCATTTACACGGAAAAAGCCCTTAATTAGAGATTGAAATAGATTTGCCTGTCAAATTAGTTTAATAAACAAATTTAAATGTTAGTAGTAAATAATTACTTTCAATTTAATTTATATCAATTATTGTTTTGTCTTTTTAAGCTTTAGTGATGATTAAAATATAGTATACAAGGTTATAGAATTTATTCAGATATGCCACATAATACCTATTTTAAATGCATTAACTTTACTTAAATTATAACAAATTAATTTTTACAATAGGCAGATTTGGAAATAAATGTATGCCTAGAGCAATGATCATTATTACTACCCTCATGTCTTTATACAGGGACATTTTAGGTGTGGGGGGTGCCCTATTATAGTAACAGAGAGAACCTAACATTAACACACTAGAACCTTTTTTTTTTACTGTGAGATTCCTACTCACTAAAAACTCTAAGATGTCCCTCATCCAACGCCATGTGCCGGAGTCGCGGGGTCGAATTTTAGTCTACCGCCACTCCGACGGCGGTGGCCCACTAGGGGCGGCTTGGGCCGCCCTTGCCTCCTGATCGCTGTGTCCATCCCCTCCTCTGCTCCACTCCTATGGCTAACACACTAGAACCTAATCTAACCATTAACACTGCCAGCCTTGTCTCTAGTTACTGCAGATCCAACAGTAATCAATATATACTCCAATACTGAATTGTCTCCTCTTTTTTTATTAATACTACCTACCTATGACCTTTTATTCCTTACATACATTGTCCTTTTTATTTACTAAGAGAAATATTGCCAAGTATGCTTGACTTCAGGCAGCTGGCGCAAAGTATTATATATAAGTTGCTACCTTAACTAGTTGTATTTATTTTAGGAAGATCAATGGTGTAATTTTACATGTTACGTTTATGAAGCAACATAATTACACCAATCAAAACGATTATGAGATAAAGTCAGGAAGAAAATAATCATTTGAAGTAATTCGTCGTAAGTCGTTATTCTATAATATGCAATCATTTATAACTTAATTTTAAATGGTATGAATGTTGTTTTTTTTTTTGCTATTTTAGTCTGTGTAACTTGCTATTTAACTACTTAATATTTGTATATTAAGTAGTTAAATATCTTGTGATACAAATACAAATATCTTAGTAATCGCAATTCCAATAATTCTTGACCTAGGTATGTTGATAAATGTCTACGATGTGCTAAATCTACAATCGTTAAAATTTTGGAACGAATAAAAACTGCTATATAATCTGTGCCCACCCACAATCTGTCCGGGGTGCCGTTGTTTTATTTGTTTACATATGTATTTTTTTATAGGTACCTGTCTTCTCTTGTGTTATTGACTTTATTAAATAACTATTTCTTAAAAGTTCTAATGAAATTATAAAATATATCTAAAAAGCAAATTACTTTAAAGAAACCAGACTACAAGTGATTGATAAGAATCGTAAAGAATTTTATTATGTTTTGAATAAATTAACCTATAAAATCTCCGAGTCCAATTCGTGTCGATATTTTCCCGACAAACGTTAGTAACACAAAACGTAACAATAGTGTCTCTCTGTTATGTAACTAGTGAATAAATTGTTTACGTAATTTCATCACAATCTGACGTTTTTATCTTCAATTATCGTGTTGAAAATGAGTGCTCTTTTAGTTGGACGCGCGATATCACGCCTGGAAACACTTTATTTAAGTAAAGAATCTGTCAGTAGCCTATACAAATCTAGTGCAGTAAGGTATTTCTCGGCAACACATAATAGAAATATGAAATTTGTACAGTTTACGTATAAAAACAAACCGGAAGAGGTACGCGTTGGTTATCTTGAAGGGAACAATGTTGTGGACATAAATAATGTGAATTCATCTCTCCCAACTTCTTTGTTGGGTATTATAAAGAATGGAGCCATAGAAAGAGTTCAAAAGTTAGTATATTATTGTATATTAAATACATAAATCATTTGCAACATACTTATCAGTCTATCATAAATTTATCACCTGATTATTGATAATATAGTACCTTCATAACTTTCCAAGAAACATCGTGATTTTGCATTTTTAGTGACATGCCCACAAGTGTGGATGTGAAATTATTTGGGATTGTCCGTTAGTTTCAGATAATTTCGGATAAGGATATTATTTTTGAAGGAATTTCAAAAATAAAATACAAATAGCTAATAAAATGTTTACATAACATGTCTCAATTAGGCTCTACCCCTATCCGATATTATCCGAAACTTTCATTTCAGATTTGGTTACGGTCATGAATATTTTATTATATTGGATCACCGATAGTTTCGATTATGGTTACAGAGCTCCCTAACATCCCTGAAAAGTAGATACCATCCTAAGGGTGGATACACATTTACTTCACATCTTTAAAATCTGATCACATTGTGAGTAACTGGCAAGTGTTATATAAATTGACAGTTTTGGTATAGCCCTGATTCAAAGTCAATGTTCTGCCCTAGTGGGTGACCATCACGCTGTATGTGTTATGTTCAAATGCAATAAAAATCATTGAATTATGATCTTTTATTTTACATGTAAGTTAGAGAAGGTCTTGCAAGTCAGTCATTCAATAGTTTACTAAGAAATGTCTATAGATATTTTATTTTATTTATTGTTGGAAAATTAATGATGAAATTTACATGTTACTGATCACATTGAATTGTCCTATGCCAATTAGTAATATTTACCAATAATATTACTAAATAAAATTTGCTCTATGATCCAAATACAATAATACATAGTAATATGTGTTACAGTATTATAGTTATAAAATACATGTAAACAGAATATACCTATAAGTAATGATGTATCTGTAGACAATATTGTACAGATAAATTATAGCTGTGTATGATATTTCTTTAGTGTTTAATCATCAAAAGGATACCAAAGTAATAGTATAAATACTAGTAAATAATAACTAATATAATTACAGTAATAGTTCTTAAAATTTAATCCTGCACAGAATTGGACCCTGTTGTACAATTTCTTTTATACTTTTATTGGTAATACTAGTGTGTGCCTAGGAGTTAAATTAACTGAATTGTTAGTTACCTAAAAGTGTTTAGGGCATTTTTGGCCCATACAAATTGGTTCAAGAAACAGGAAATTGACTGTTAATTTTGTAAAATAAATTTCGGACAGTGCAGTTCAATGAACTGTTTTAATTATTATGCAATAAATCTTTTTGTTATCAAAGGTATTATTATATCAAAAATATTACAAAAATCTAAGGTAAAAAATTAAGTAATACTATTATTTAATACTGTACTGATTAGATTAGTTGTTATGTTCATAGATATGAGTTCATTCATTTTGTTTTATTGCAACATTTTTGTGTTTATAATATTAGTATAATAAAGATGTAATACTATTTGTATATATTTTGCTATTAAGATTTAAGGTATCATTTTTATTAAGTAATGTATTTTAGTAAATTTTATTTGCTTATGAATGTAGTAAGTTTTTTCTAATAATATTTTTTCCCTACCATTCAGTTCATTATACAGATTTAATTGAGAAATATTGACTAGAAACTTAACTGAATTTCTTCTTCTCTCTTTCTTTTTATTTTTTAAATATGATAGGATTAGCTCTTGTGAATGAACAGCCTTGGGGGTCTAGCTTTTTACAATATCACTTTACAACGACAACTTACTCTACAACCAGGAATCGAAACCGCAACCGTCAGAACGGATGCCGGTTCGATTCCTCGCACGGTTTAAACATTTGTATTCGTAAGCTTTGTTTGTAACATTGGGGGTGTTTTCTATAATATGTATGTATTTACGAAAAAAAAATATGTCTATGCATTCAGTTGTCTAGTACTCATAACACAAGCTCTAGCTAGCTTAATTTAGGACTAGATGGCGTTGTGCGCAGGTCAATTCATGTCCTGATGTTATTACTATCTACATGAAAAAAAATCCTTTGATTTGATATCAAGTGATATGATTGAACTGCGATCCATAGAAGACAAACAGATATTATTCATTAAAGTACTGTATAAATATTAGTTATAAAAATAATATCTATATCAATTAATAAGCATAAGAAATAATGAAAGGCGAATTAAAATTCAATTTCCCATTATCGATTTCTGCTAATGTGTTTGATAGATAAGGTATTTAGTGGATAATAAAAATATTAATTTGCTTGAAATTGATCCTTAAATACATTGTTCACTAATATTTTTAATATATTATAATGGAATGATGCTCCCGCCTGTACTATATTTGTATGCTGACTGGCGCCAGTGAGGATGATAAGATAAATATGATGTCAAGTCAGTTAGCTCATCGTGGAAAATTCACCAGGAATTTATCACGATAGTTTCCAAGGGGTAACTGCGTGGGGGTTTACCTAGCATATTACATTGATGGCAATGGGTCAACAGTCCACATAACTAACAATCTCCTTCCCCCCTAGGGTATACCATTAGCGCAGGCTGGAAAACCATTTCATTATAACCTATTAAAAATCTACAAAGTAATAAGTATAGACCTGAATATGATGATGATGAGAGTATGATCACCAGAGTATGAAGGAGACGGAACGCTGTCAAGGGATTTTATCTGCATCAGTATATGGTGAACGACATTCCTTTGCACTCCCAAAATGTTGTAAGAGTCGACCAGGGAACGAATCAAGGACATTGTTTATAGGCGGGAAGGGAATTGTTAGTAATGTTGAGTGATGGCCCCATTTGACATTTGACAATGTGCAATGTCAGGTTGACCTCCACGCGGTCCCCTCTGGACAACATTGTGATAAATTCCTGGTAAACTTATCATGATGGGCTAACTGACCTGACGTCCTGCTCATCTTAAAAAATACATCGATTATGTAATTAAAATTGCAAACAAGCTGATGGCCAACATAGTTTATAAATGGCAACATCGTGTCGTGATTCCTGTATTATATCTCGCATATTGCCAAACAAGACCACTAAGCTACGTCTTCCTATTCTGTAATTTTACTGGCTTTTCCTTACTTTTTCATAGAACCATTGCTTATAAAGCAAGCTGTTTGTGTCTGGAATCGGGGTTCAGAAACACACACATTTCGTACAAAATGTACTTCGGAAAATGATGAGTATATAAAACCGATGACAGTTTTAATAGGCATATGTATTAAATTATCTATTGAGGTGACATTATAAATTAATAATATTTTGTTTATAATTTCTTTTTAAAAATTTGTAGATCCCACAATTATTTATACCTATAACCCACTGTTAGTCGTGTTAGGTCGACATGCACGCGGTCCCCTTTTGAAGACGATGTTTTTAATTTTTATTGAATTGCCACGGTAGGTTAAATGACCTAACTTCATGCTCATTCTCTAGAGTTATCAATCGTAGCTACTTTTCCATTGTCACCAACTAAAAATACATGTGCGAAGCAATACCAGGTTGCTATTTCGTTTGATACTAGGTACTCTTCGTCTTTATAAAAGAGGAAAGATTTTAGTTAAGTTTTTTTTTTATATATTTATAATTAGCTGGGCCGTGCAACTTCGTCTGCATCACAGTTACTTGATACCCAATTCACATATCTCTTAAAATTATAGCCTATGTATTATTCTGATATATAAACTATATTACTGTAAAGTTCCGTCAAAATCAGTTGAGTAGTTTTTGCATGAAAACGTAACAAATATCCATCCATACTCACAAACATTCGCGTTTATTTGTAAGATGGATACTTAAAATAATAGGTATTTGACAGTATTTAAATATACGTCCATTTTTACTGCTATCTACTTTATTTTGTTATACTACAATGTTGGAAATCTAGCATACGGCCCATCTTATTGCATGCGGACAGCGCTGTGAATAAAATTTGTATGTTCTGTCGTTTTAGATTGAAATCAACAAACCCGGCTTCAGTACCTCTATCAACTGTGACGTTGGCGGCTCCAATCCACGGTATAGATAAAGTACTATGCATTGGACTGAATTACAACGATCATTGCGTAGAACAGAACTTGACTCCGCCAGCTGTGCCAATGATCTTTAACAAGTTCCCTAGCGTTATTGTCGGACCCAATGATCCAGTGAGACTAAGAACTGATGTTACTAAGGTAAATGTAACTTAATTCTTCATTGCAATTGGGCACGATGCATCAAGTTACTTCATATGTTTTCTTGAGGTAGAATAGATAATCCTTTATTAAAATAAACTGGCTTCAATGCCAGTTTATTTTAATAAAATTTTTAGCACTTTTGAATGGTTCACATTTTTTTTTAATCTACCGCTCATTAGGAACGCTGTCTCATCACAACAAGAACGAACAAGAAACATGTGTGTTGATATTTTAAATAATTTTATTGTTACTTTACATTTTTAAGTTGATGTGTGTGAATACAAACTACCAATTAGCACTAATTAAATAAAATATTGAAATAGAGAAAATATAACAACCAACTGGTTGAGCAACTCAATAAGAGTATATCAGTAGTAGGGTTAGAGCAGACCAGTCCAAGCACCACTCTTTCACGAGTATGGCGGATGATCCAGCCATCATTGCGCTCGACCATATCAGTATGATAACTAGGATATTATATAAGTTTTTATGTATAGGAATCAAGTGTCACAAACAAACAAAGGAGTTTATACTAGTTGAAGAATGCACCAATTGAACACAGGTCTCTTGTAAATTAAACGGATGGGGTCAAAATGTTGCGTGAATCACAGAGGTCCGCTCTGACCTCAGCGACACAAATTGGGGTCAATTATTGAAACAAATTGATCGTAATTCATACAGCGTGGGTGGATAGACGACATGTAGTCGTCATCAGGCAGCTTGCATACACCCAGGAATTCTTCGCACCCTTGGTCGAACTAGAACCTACACTACTGCTATTACTGGGTCCTCTCAGGCCGCTGGGAACTCGGGTCCATGTTTTTACGTAATTGGAAAGGCATTCAATTGGCCCTCCTTATTCTGAGCGATTACTAATCTATTTTATAAAAAATCGGATAGCAATAAAATAAATACATAGCAATATTAATAATATCCTCATTCCTATACCATATATTCTCTCACTAATCAGTCGATGGAATGTACCTACCATATATCTTTCACTCTTTAGTCTGGAATGGTTTTTCCGGGCCTTGATACATATACCGTGAGTAAGTGTCGTGCTATGTTTGCCCAGATAAGTCGCGTAACCATTTCTTGTAATTTTTTGCCGCATTGCATCTCATATGGTTTAAATTAAAAGATATTTTTTTATTATCATAACCAAGTATTTATTTATGTATTTAGTAAGACGGCCTCGGTGGGCTTGCGGTTTTCTTGTAAATTTTGCCGCATTGCGTCTCATATGGTCTAAATTGAAAGATATTTTTTTTATTATTGTAGCGAAGTATTTATTTAGCAATACTTAAGTATTTAGTTAGACGGCCTCTGTGGTCTATGGATTAGCAAATCGCCTTACTTCCGATGGTCGCGGTTCCTGGCACGCCAAAAACATTTGTATTCATGAGTATGATTTTTTGTATCGGTCTGTGTATAATATGTATGTATTTGCGAAACAAATATGTATTTATGTATTTGTATCAGTTATCTAGTAGGTACCCATAACACAATCTTTAGCTACCATAACTTGGGACTAGATGGGACTGTGTGAATTTTCCTGAGATTAGTATATTATGTAGTAATAAATTCTCAAATGAAATATAATACGCAATTTTGTACCGCGAATTTGAATTAACAATAATTAATAGCTTACTAACTGTAATCGCGCTTTCACCCGCATGAAATTTATAGCGTCACATACGCTTATACATTATTCTGATGTATAAGCTATATTACTGTAAAGTTTCATCAAAATCCGGTAGTAGATTTTGCGTGAAAGAGTAACAAACATCCGTGTTCAATACAATACATTATTATCATTAATAATAATAATGTATTCTATTGAACACGACACTATATGGTACGGGATGTTTGCTAAAAACATATGTCTAGCACCGCATTCAAATCGCTTAATTCATTTCTGAGATTAGCGAAGCAAAAAAGACAAACTCTACAAACAATGTTTAGACATCGATAATATTAGTGCAACCCTTTCAAAATTTACAGACTATTAAAGTTATTATTTTGAAACCGAAGTAGCGTAAGTTTAATACTCTGAATTATATTCAAGACGTCGTGAGTTCAAATCTAGCTGACGCCAAGAAATTTGTATTTCTGACTAACTAACTCTCCGGCGAAGGAAACACCGATATGAAACCAAAAACTAATCCGAGAGACGATGGTAAGCGGGCCTCATAAACACGGTATTCATTATACTGAGCGATATATGTGTATGTTAAGTTTTGCGTTGACCACAACATCAACAGTTGACAATGGCTTAGTCAGAGCCATTGTCAACTGTTAAGTTACAGTTGACAATGGACAGTTAGAATAGAATAGAATAGAAAATCATTTATTCAAATAAACTTAATTTAAGCACTTTTGAATAGTCATAACAATTTGTTTTTTATCTACCACTCGTTCGGAAAGCTGTCTCATCACAAGAAGAACGAGCAAGAAACTTGTGTGTTGCTCTTTTAAATAATCCTTGTAAGTTTACATTTACAAGTCGAAACGTGTGAATACAAACTACCAACAAGCACTAATTTTTTGGGTCAAATATAATCATGCAATAAGATTAAATCAGTCGTAGTGATAAGAGCAGACCAGTCCCTACAAGCAGCACTCGTTCACGAGTATGACGGATGAGCCAGCCATCACTGCGCTCGACCATATTTTAGGGAGCCCATTGACCCGGCCCCACCACGCCGCCACACGTCTGGACATTTTAGTGAGCATGACTACTCATTCCACACGACCACGTCACAGCTACAAAAATTACTATATGGTAGTTACAGTATTCGCACTTTACAAAAGGATGCATGCGGCAATCAATACAAAAGCCGCTACGCTATCATATATCAAGAAAGCAGTATGAAAATTAAAATTATAACGTTGTCCGCAAATAAACTTATTCTTGCTATATATTGCTATCATCTATAAATTCATCTATCTTATAATAGGCTTTTTTACATAACATTTGTTTAATATAAGATTTGAATTGCCTCTCTGTAAGATTTAGCGTAGACTCTGGCAGTTTATTATAGAATCTTACGCAATTACCATAACCAATTAGTTGACAATGTAGCCCCATCTGCTACATTAGTAGTGACACTATGTTTTTTATTCTGTAGGCATTCTTCATAATCTGTATTTATAAGTACATACAATATTTGATTGTGATGGATAAATTATAAAAAAAAATCTAATATAGATATAGCTACATTATCAGCATTAGGGTTCATTCCCGGGAATTCTCGGTTCGAGAATTCCCGGGAAATTCATGGGTTTTGTTCCCGGGAAATCAAGCTCGAGAAAAGTCGAGAACTCGAGAAATCATATACCTATATAGAAATTAAATTGCGCTTTGTTTTGTTGCGTGGCGGCGCAATAATTTAAGATATTAACTTTTTTGTTTTCTTTCATGTTATTTTTTTATTTTGTAGAGTTATTTTTGTTTACGTTGTTTTTTTTTTAAATAAGCAGCCAAAAATGGTGGTGTCATCTATACATATATAAATAAAATTGGAGTGTATGTTTGTAATATTGAAATAACCGGTTTTTACTGCATGCATATGAATATAAATACGGAACATACACCCAAAAACTACTTTTTAAAATTTTTGTCTGTCTGTCTATCGATCTGTTTGTTCCGGCTAATCTCTGAAACGTCTGAATCGATTTTAACGGGACTTTTTTTGGCAGTAGCTGATGTAATAGGGAGTAACTTAGGCTACTTATATTTTAGAAACATTATTTTATTGTAAAAAAATTAAGTATAATTCCACGCGGACGAAGTCGCGGGTACAGCTAGTTATAAATATAAGTCTGAATAATTAGGTCCTAAAAAATTGAAATTGGCGTTTTGTAAGGGAATAACCTGAAGTATTTTTTTCAAAATATAATATATTAATTTAAGCAAAGTATTTCTATTAATTTTTTAATAAATTTTAAAACCATTTCTATTTATGCACTTTTGCCTTTTGTTTTTGTACTTTGGACTGCCCCATCGGAGTTTAATTTTTTCCCTTGCAAGAAGTTATCCAAATTTCGAAAAAAATGGTAATCTGTTGGAGCAAGGTCCGGGAAGTACGGTGGTTGTCTTAGACATTCCAATTGAAGCTCTTCTAATTTGGTAACTGTCTGTTGTGCAGTATGTGGTCAAGCGTTCTTGGCGATTGACCAGCCTCGGTTGTTTAGCAGCTAGCTTTTCCATTATGATTTCTCAATTGCTGACAATACACATTTGCCGTAATCGTCTGGCCAGATTTAAGAAAGCTGAAGTGAACAACACCGGAAATAGTCCACCAAACGTTCACAAGTAACATTTTTTGAGCCAATTTTCGCTTGGGGCAGGATTTGGTTGGTTCGCCAAGGTTTAGCCATTGCAATGAGCGTTTCTGATTATCGTACGATATCCACTGTCCATCACAGAAAATGATTTGATTTGTAATCCCTTCATTATTATGCCAGTTGATTAATGTAACGCAGCAGGCTACGCGCGTTTGTCGATTCACTCCATTGAATTCATGAGGGACCCACTTTTCAAGCTTTTTCACCTTCCCAATTTGCTAAAGGATTAAAACAGTTTTGTCACTAACACCGGAGCCTGCAGCTAACTCGTATGGGTTTGCGATGGATCCGCTTCCACAATAGCCTTCAATTCTTCATTATCAACCTTGGATTCCGGTCGCCCACGGAGATTGCTTTGCAGGTCGAAATTTCCAGAACGAAAACGTTGGAACCAAAAATGCACGTGTTTTCTTTTGCGACACCACTGCCGTACACATCATTAATACTTCGAGCCGTTTAGCACCGTGTAGCACTGGTGCTACAGCGGAACTCGTACTCGTAAATAACGCGATATTTTAAGTTTTTTCATTTTGTATGCTGTGAGTGACCCAAAGTGAATAGCTGTATAAATTTGGAAATGGAATTCCTAACCAAAGAGGAGATATTTGAGATCCAAGTGGCCAGTACGACAAAACGCCAATTTCATATGTAAGGACCTAATATTATTTCTCTATTTAAAAAAAAATTAATTTATTCATAATATTAATGTTTTTAAATATACTCAATAAAAGTTTTATTTGAGAGGAAAACCACTGAATTTTTTGAGTTATTGGAACCAAATAATATGAGAAAACGTACGTAAATGTAAATTTCTCGACAACCCGAGAAGACCCGAGAAATTGACCTCGAGAATTCTCGAGACCCGAGAAATTGAAAAGCTCGAGAAATCATGAACCCTAATCAGCATATACCATAAATGTCGTGACATGAGGCTTGTTTTTTTATAATATTATTGTCCATGAATAATAATAATAAAAACCATGCTATAAAAACAAATAAATATTTCGAACTAATAAACGAATTAACGAACAGTAGTATGTTGTTAACATAGGTACATGTATATGCGCTCGAAGTGGGAGCGAGAGGTACAGCAATGAAATCTCTACAATCTTCTAAAAGATTTTGGCTAGTCTAGAACTGCAGTAAATTCTATTATTAGATTTGGCTGTGTAGTGAGAGAAACACGAGTGGTGAAGGTACGTGTTGGTGTAAGTCGGTAAGCCCCCCCGACTTACACCAACACTTAAACCTACAACCGGTGCACAAGTCCCGGGAACTGCTCGGAGTTTACCTCTCTGGTACACGTAGCACCTGCTCGGTGAATCTATGGAATGTCAAGTTCTTTCTCTTTTTATTTAAAAAAAATGTTTCTACTTGCCCATAGGGACTATTACAGAGCGGGTGCGGGGTTGTCTTTTGCAGTTTCGCCCCGCACTCAGTATTTCATTCATTTTTAAATAAAAAAATTATAATACTGTTATTGTTTCATATTCTTTTCAGAAAGTAGACTGGGAAGTAGAACTGACTGTTGTGATCGGTAAGAAGGCGAGCTTTGTTAAAGCAGCCGACGCTTATGACTATGTGTTGGGCTACACAGTTGCACAGGACGTGAGTGCCAGGGATTGGCAGAAAGAAAAAAATGGCGGCCAGTTTCTACTTGGCAAGGTGATTATAAATTAATTTAAAAAATTACAAATCTCTAGAGACTCACTTTTAGAGAGGTCAATATCATTACAAATATTGACCTACCTATCTTAACATATCGATTAACTTTTCTAATGAAATGCAAAACTTTCTTAATTTTTTCTTTCCTAAAATTCCCAATTTCAATTTCTCGTACGAATTGTTTTCAAGAGTATGCCTGTTTGTATTAGTTTGTATGTTCTCTATATATTTAGTTAAGTATTTGTATAAGTTGTTTAGTCGCAGCAGTACAGGCTCTATTTACTTTGGAATTAGATGGCACTGTGTGAATTATACTGGGTTATTATTATTATTAGAAAGGTTCAACATATAGTCTAAATTATATAGAAATGAATGAATTATGTAATATATCGTTTAATGAAAAAGAATATAAACGCAGAAGTATTAATTATAATTTATTGCTTTCAGTCGATGGATACTTTCTGCCCGATTGGTCCTTGCATCGTAACTAGCGACGAAATAGGCGATCCTCAGAACCTGGACATCAAGTGCAGCGTGAACGGCGTACTGAAACAGACCAGCAATACCAATCAGCTAGTGCACAAAATACCTGACGTCATTGAACGATTAACATCGTAAGTTATCTTATTTTTTCTGCCTAGTGGTGCCCACAGACTAAAGTCGTATCTATCAGGCAGAAGTTGGCTATTCAGTCACTCCACAAGTCTTTTAGCAGGTTTGAAGTCCCATCTGCACTCGCCGCTGTCGTTCCGTGGAGATGTAAATGCCAGCAGTGGTCAATAGCATTCGAATAGTTAAAAAAAACTTTTTTTATGAATTGACAAACCTGACCTGTCAGCTTACAGGCCACGTATCACGCCTTTTACTATCACTACAAATGTTACTACTTTCTCCTGTTACTATAGTATTTTTTTTTACTATATATAATTAATCATCATCCTGATTTGTCTTAATAATGAACTGTTACAATTCTGCTTATAATAAAATTAACAAGTATTAGGCACATTGATTGTGAAATAAAAAGTATAATCGTAATAGTTAATTATATACATATATTAAAAAAAATGTAGCTCAGTAACAGTTAAGTCATGCAACTGTTGTATATCCACTGAATATCTCGATCACAAACCTATATGTTTTATTTAAAAACTGCCATTTTCCAGGGTAATGACTCTCCTCCCTGGTGACATACTTCTCACTGGTACTCCTGGCGGAGTGGGCATGTACCGAAGCCCTCCAGAGTACCTCAAGCCGGGTGACGTCATCCTCAGTGAGATACAGAATATTGGAGTGCTGGAAACTAGGATTGAGAAGTTTTAATTATATGTTTGTTTTAACATTACATTATGTACAGGGCATATTAAGTGCAGTTGCACTAAACAACATATTTGTATTATATTAACCATTTGATTGAATTGGATATATACATGTGTAACCAGATATTTTTATAGACTGGTCGGTTTTTTTATATATCTATTCTATTAGTTACTAGCTATGCCTGCATCTTCGCCTTCGTAGAGTAGTAACTTTGTGTAGCATTTATAATTATTTAGGCTAAATCCTTTCATCGCCCCTTTCAACCCCATTACAATCCCTATTTCTACAATATAACCTATGTTATGTAACCTACGTCCTTTCTCAGGCTCTAGACTACTACCTGTGTACCAAAGTTCATTTAAATCGGTAATCAGTTCAGACATAAAAACATAACACATAGAGTTGCTTTCGCATTTATAATATCTTCTAGATAAGCAATTTAATTAATTACAATTCTTCGAAATTTTAAATTCAAACTATTGCTTATCTACTAGATAAAACTGTGTTCATAATAGTTTGATGTAAACAGTTGGTTCAACTAGAAAATTATTTATTAATAAGGACTACTAAGTAGTACTACATGTGTTGTAATACATCATTCAATGAATTTAATTTTATTATCGGTACTAAAATAAATTTAAATATATATAACTCAAAGGTGACTGAGGTAGTGATCTATCAACGCACAGCTCAAACCACTGGACGGATTGGGCTGAAATTTGGCATGCAGGTAGATGTTATCACGTAGGCATCCGCTAAGAAAGGATTTTGATTAATTCTACCCCCAAGGGGATGAAAGTTTGTATGAAATTTTGTCAATTTTAAACCGATCTGGCTGAGATTTTGCATGCGTAAAGATACTATGACGTATGCCTACGTCTACTAAGAAAGGATTTTGATAAATTCCATCCCTAAAGGGATAAATTAACGCGAGCGAAGCCCCGAGCAAAAGCTAGTATAGATATATTAACTTTAAAATGTCTAGCAAAATGACTTTTTATATTCTTTATCGATGTTGAAAATAAATATATGTTATCTTATTTTCCTGCTTATTATTCCACAAACCACTTTGGACGCTAAATATAAATTACACCGGACAATTAACACAGCGCCATCTAGTCCCACGGTAAGCAGAGCTTGTGTTATGGGTACTAGACAACTGATATAAATACTTAGACATTTTTTTTTTAAATACATACATAATATACGTAGAAAACACCCCAGACTGATACAAACTATCATACTCTAATACAAATATGCATGCTGCAAGGAATTGAACCCGCGATCATCGGAAGTAAAGCGATGTGCTAAATCGATAGACCACCGAGGCCGTCCTGTTACTAGTTTATAAAATACTATATGTGTATGTATACTGTTTTAGAAAACCCATATCATATGGCCTTTCAACTATACCGAGAATGTATGATATAAATAAAATTGGAGTGTCTGTTTGTAATATTCAAAATAACCGTTTATTATTACATGCATATAAACATAAATACGGTATGCATACCGAAATAACATTTTTTTTACAATTTTTGTCCGTCTGTCTGCCTGTTTGTTCCGGTTAATCTCTGAAATGGCTGGACCGATTTTGACGGGACTTTTTTAGGCAGATAGCTGATGAACCTAATAAGGAGTAACTTAGGCTACTATTATTTTAGAAAAATAAAGTTAAATTCCACGCGGACGAAATCGCGGGAACAGCTAGTAATAAATAAAATATTTATTTTATGATTTAAGCAGGTGATTACTATTATTAAACTATTCTTAATGCATATGCATGTAGTAAAAAACGGTTATTTCAATATTACAACCAGACACTCCAATTTTATTTATATGTATAGATTAATGCTAATAGCATTTTCTACTAGCCAATCTTAGGGAGCGCAGAAATACAAGAATGCAGTTTATTTTATTAAATATAATTATATAATAACCTATATTAATAGATATAAATATAAGAGTAAGATACACATAATAAAGTATCTGTTATCAACTTTTTTATAACCTTATTGACGTATTCAACATATCTTTATTAATAACATACTTAATACATATCTACATATATAGATAAGCCAATGATTGATTGATTTGTCCTATGTTATATTATCGTATTTGAGCTCATGCCAAGCCCACATTTTTTACAGTTTAATGGGAACAATAATTCCCAAGTATGAACTTGTGGCATACCACAAGTTCATACTTTGTTGGAATCTTTATGGAGCGCCATGAATATCACGTCATTAAGTGACGCTCTTAATTCCCTTATTCATTGATATCTATTACCTTTTAAATTATCTTTAATGGTAATGGAATGGTGCACCAGCTTGCGCTATCTGGTTATGCTGGCGGAGTGGCGGAGTGCAGGATGATAAGGTGAGCATGACGTTAGGACGGTTATCGTGATAAATTCTTTCTAACATTTTTGAAAATATTCTATCGCCCATGTTCCTCAGGGGATTTTCTCGGAGTAAAAAAATGAACGAAACTACAGGGTGAATTTGAAATATTCTTTACACTTCGTTCAAGAGCTTATTCAATGCAAACAATTAAACCATCAGTCAATCTCATCCTATATCAAAGTAACAGGTAAAGATAAATCGAGAAATATTTGTTATATATAAATATTTGTGTCGTCAACTCACATACTTAGAATTAAAAATCCATAATGACTTCATTGTCACGGTAATGAGTTTCTCGATGTAATATATCTTATACCTATGAGTATGCACTGTTAGCTTCAAACTTAAAGTAAGATACTCAGTTGACTAATTTGTTACATTTCAAGTTTAGAACCATAGTCACATGATGTTGGTGGCGTCACTATTACGCCATCACCAATAGACATAAAGAGGAAAGGAACAAGGAGGGGTCGGCCTTTTTTCGTAGAATACAGCGACGCAATTTTTTTTTGTCATGATAATGGAATGGTGCACCCGTCTGTGCTAACGTTTACGCCGGCGGGGCACCAGTGGTGAATTATGAAATGAGCATGAGGTCAGGTCAGTTAGCCCATCGCGACAAATTCACCAGAAATTTATCACGATGGTTTCCAGGGGAAACCGCATGGAGGTCAACTTGAGCAATGTACCATACATTGCTAACAATGGGGTCAACAGTCCCCGTCCCCCTAGCGACGCAATTTATGTGGAGTGTAATTTGAAAAATGAATAATAATCAAGTACTGACACTTCCCAAAAGTACTATAATGACTTATTAATTTTGGACAAGTTATTGAGGTCAATATGTAATCCCAATAATTCTAAAAATCTACATAAGATGACGAAGATAACTACGGGATCCTACTACGTTTTACATGAACTACTCGTTTTAACTAAGGAAAAAACTAATATAAAAGACGATCAGAAAAATATTGTTTAATTAAAAAATTCTAAATAGGTAGTATGACACATACGACAATCTAAGTAGTTTTAAAAAAAGATAGAAAAAAAATTTTAACTATAAAACCGCAACATTTTATTTATTTTTATTGAATTACCTGAAGTAGGTAATTTTATCCTAATAGGTATAATAATTTTATTAGCTACGTTTATTTATTTTATGACGTGTGGAATTTTGTGCACAACGTTGAGTAATTTATCTTAAGTAGTAGTATGTTATATTATGTTATCTGTGGTAGTAGCATAAACATACACCTATATAATCTCAGAGCTGATTTCAGCTCTGAGATTGCAATTTGCAACTTTCACAAATTGAACAATTCCAGAAACATTTTATTTATAGAGATTTTCTAGTCTATGTTTGTTGTATGAATTTGTATGCCTGAGATGCATATTGTATCAATATGATAGGTGACTTATTTATTTTTATTATTTTAGGCCTTTCTGATTTAATTTTATTTATATGTTGTATGTTTGTATGGTATGGTTGTATGTATACTTTGATTTTCCGAAAATAAACAAATAAATAATAAAAATAAAACACAAGGGGGGGGGGGCGACTTAACACCTTGCGGCGTTCAATTTAATATTGTTGAGTTGTTGGTTGCTTTCTAGAACTTGTGAGCAGTACCTAGTAGTGACTTTTCTTCCCTACCTAGTAGTGAGTCTTCAATAGACACGCTTACGTAGCATGTCCAATAGAATTTGTATAAGTAGGGGAATTCCTTTTGAAGTAGGTAAGCTGTTCCGAGACGTAGATAGGTGTCTCTGTTAGAGCCTTTGTAATACGATTATAATAATATGTTGTGTGACACCAAATCTGACTTGACTTGTTGACTGTCGTTTATTATGAAATGGAAAATTAGTAGATGTTATAAACAATGTGAACTAAAAACATTTTATTGTGCCCGCCATCAGTCGATTTTATGCAAGAGTATTATCACCGGAATGTCGTAGATGATTTTAACCTATTAACCGGGATATTATCTTTTTAAGTAAGCAGCATTTACGGGGTGGTTTCCCTAGGACGTGTCAGTATGGCAGAATGTAATTTCATATAACTATGTAATATTGAGCATTAGATAGTGTACTTTGGTTTAGACTTTTCGCAAGTGATAGGTATCTACTGCTGTATCTACATTTATTTGATATACCACCAACACTTTAAGTGTGCCTAGCTGTTTAAGATTCGAGGTACGAATATCCTTAAGTGTATTTTCCTTTTATTCCAGTAAAATTTTAAATTAAACATGATGTGACCATTTTTGGCGCAATATAAAAAAATAAGTCGGCAAATACATGAATAATAATATTAAAAATAAAATGTTTATTTAAGTTGAAGGGAAAAGGATGAAGAAATTAAAAAAAGAATAGAAAAACGCTTCTTCCAAATTAACTCGATGAAAAAATGTTTTAAATGAAAGTTCTAGAGAAAAAAAGTCTAGACAAAATAGGTCCTCCTCAGTTTTTCATTATCTGCTGTTGTTTAAAAAAATTAACGTCTTTTTTAAAATATACGTATAATTAGTAAAAATCACGGGATCTTACTACGTTTTATATTTATTTGCTGCTATTAATTAAAGGAGTGACTGATAAGATAAGCAGACTATTGAGTAAATACTCTGTACTTACTTAGACGAATGGAAGAGAAAAATATATAGTAAAGCGAAGTGATATGTGATAAGGTAAAGGAGGTGATGATGGTAATTCTTCGTCTGTACCCGTACTTCCTATGTATGTTAAATGGGCATCCGGTTAAACAAAATCATAAGAATTGTAGCGTGCTGTCATTACCATGTTCATCAAGGCATAATTTTGGTTGCATTCATAAAAGGATACCTAACTTTATTAAGCAAAGCTGTTACATATCTATACAAAACTATTTTACTAGCTGGTAACAAAACCTGAAAAAAAAACTTTAAAAAACACATTCAGAATTTTTTTAAATGTCGTCACAAATAAAAAACACGAATTATTGTACTCGTATTTTTTTTAACTGTACCAACTAGTGTTCTTCCTCTTACTGCAATTTACTTACTTCAATATGCCAGAAAAAAAGTATTTTTCTAAAAGTCTTATCAAGCCTGATGGAAGAATACTTACGATGATT